ACAGTTCCTATGACCTGCACTGTTTCATTGCTTTTATGGCTTTATTTTGGTGATTTTCGAAAAGTTGTTTGGTTTGGCCATGTTTGTTTGTTGTAGTACAGAGTTAGACTGATGGCCTTAATCTAAATTGTCTTGTGGTTGTTGTTTGACTTGCATCCCACTGGGATTTTTGCACACACTGTTGGTGTACGGTGCTTTTTCTGCAATATGTTGCTGTCTTTTTTTGGATTTTCTGTTTGCACCTGGTCACATATTCACTTTAAGATGTTTTTTTGTTCATGTTTTTGTTTGTTGCGGTTGCACCCGATTCAAGAGCCGAATGGCTCACAGGGCTACACCTAGTACATGAACTTGAACTTGAGACTTCTTATAACCTGGAGACTACGGTTGTGTGTAACATTGGTGATGCCACGGGTAGCAAGCAACTTGTGGATTGAAGCCATCTGGCTACTCCGCCGAGGGCTGGTCTTGGTGGGGGTGGTGGTAACAACATTGACCATACTTCACCACGCTGGCAAAGTGCATTGCAGTGAGAACAATAACGGAATGTGCCCACGTCTGCTGCTGAACACCAGCTAGTGCGGGGCCTGTAGCATGTGATGTTATAAAGGGGCCCTAAATAAAATAACACAAATACTAAAACAAATTGTTTTTACTTGCATAGTAAAGTAATTGTATTTGTTTTATTTGCTATACGGCCAGATAATACGACAAATCGCTAACCTTAAACACCCAGTCGTTCATAAAAGTTGAAGGTGATATAGTACTATAGTAATAGAGCAAGTGCAAAATCACTGAACCTGAATTTATAGCTTGAAAGCATTTAGCGCGGGTCCCTTGTAGTAGCTTCTATGCTACTATGTAGTAGCATAGTAGCTACTAGATATGTAGTAACTACATATGTAGTAGCTACTACATATGTAGTAACTACTACATATGTAGTAACTACATATGTAGTAGCTGCTACTGTTGCTACCAGGATAATCTGGCATAGAGTGGCACAGCAGTGACGAACCCGTCCATCGTGCACGGTGGTAGCCCATCCAAGGACTCGCCAGGTTCAACGCGTGCTTAGCTTGTGAGATGTGGCAGACATCAGTCGCGTTCAGGGTGACGTGGACATTCGGCGTGAGGCTTCGGACTCGGGGAAAAACCCTATAAACTCAAATTTTAATTTGATTTTACCAGGTAAGGCCCCACTGAGCTACTTAGCTGTTTTTTTTTCTAAAGAAGCGACCCGGCCACAAACGATAGGTCAACGAAGTGGCTTATCACGTGGACAATTGATAGTAGCCAAATACTCTAAACGCGACCTACTTGCTGTACTGCATCATACAGATACTGCGTGGCCTGCACCGGTGATGCACCAATGTGTGTGTGTGTCGTGTTCAAACATACACGCAGTGCAAATAAGTCAATCACACTTGCCGGAAGACACGTACAGCGGTGTGGAGTAGACCCGGGTGATATTAACTTACCGAAATTAGAATCGACCGGCCACATTTATCAAATAAAAGCATTGCCCCCCCCCACCCCCAAATAAGTTGGGAGGTCTGGGGATGACAAACAAACCCAGTGCTAAGAGGACGGCGCAGTATTTGCAACAACAACAACAAAACATCCACAATATAAAGGTGTGTTTTTTTGTGTTAGATCGCGTAAATATTTAAATGTGTCGTTAAACCCACCACCACCCGACCAGTGAGGTTTGTCGCGAAGACTGAACGTGGCAATTCGTTACCAGTGCAAACCCACCCATGGATTTGCTCTCCAACACACCGGTGTGGGTTTAACGACACATTTATATTTACGCGATTTAACCTCCCCCCCCCCCCCCCCAAAAAAAAACTATATTATGGATGATACTGATCGCGAAAGGCTACTACGGGTTAAAATATAAATAAACAACCCAATGGGTTGCGTTGACAGCTTTCCCGTCGCTCGCCCGGTACTGAGAGATTTAAATGCCCCCAAGAATAAAACTGCGTGTTGCAAAGCGTTACATAACCCACGGGCTCTGGGCATGTGTTTGTCTTTCTTTCTCCAAAATGTCATTCGCACGAAGCGCCTCGCTTAGCTTAAATGGACGTTGCCGCAAGATGCCGGCAGGGAGATTTCGTGGTCAGTATCGATTGCACCGAGTTTGCACGGAGTTGTGCATCATGATGTGGGGAAAGGGACATGAATTATTGTGCAGGGTGAGAGCCATGTTATAGATAGCCCCCATTAAAGTAATGATCACAAACTTACGGACGAAGCACTTCATTGCAAAGCCACCAAATCTGAATGCACTCGTTTGAAATGTGTTAAACAAAAAACAAATCTAGTAGTAGGTTTTTACCCTTGTAAACTGGTACAAAACTGACACCTTTATTCAAGGCATCATGTTTGCAATAACCACAACACAAGTAGTCAAAAAAGCAAACAAAAAGAAGCAACTCTGATAATGATAATAATATGCACTGTCCTTGAAGTTGATTGGTCCACACCCGAGACAGCTTTCTTTAGAGCCTAGTCTCCATTGGTGTTGGACCAGATGACACCAGAAGGCGTACAACTCAAACACAGTTATTATAAAAAAACAAATCTACGTAACACTTCGTCCAGAATAGCTTTGAACAATCGTGTAGACAGTCACTGGCTGAGACTAAAAATCTCTCAAATGGGTCGTTAAGAGATTGACGGGGTCGCCGGTTTAATGGATCACCCTGTACCTATACGGCCAATTAACATTAATCGGAATTCCACTGTTACGGAAAAAACACCAGAAACACAACACGACTATCACAACACTTTAACGTAAGATACCTTGAGGTTTAGGTGCTACTATTGCTAATTTTGTTATCCAGGTGAGGCCTGCCAAGTTATGTAGCTCTTATTCAGAAGTGACTTGGCCACAAATGATAGCTGAACGAAGTGGCTTATCACGTGGAAACTTATAGCAGGCAAATACTCTAAAGGCACGCATCTAAATGTGGAGGGGAAAACCCGGAGGACCCGGAGAAAAATCTACACAACCAGGGGGAGAGAGAGAGACACGCAAACTCCAAATATACAGCAGCAGGCATCAGGGTCGAGATCAAACCCACAACCTCCTGTGTACCAGGCGAGGTAGTTAACATCTCCTAGCCACCGTGATGATGATGAGAGAGAGAGAGAGACACAGACCTCCTGTATACCAGGCGAGGTAGTCAACATCTCCTAGCCACCGTGATGATGATGAGAGAGAGAGAGACACAGACCTCCTGTGTACCAGGCGAGGTAGTCAACATCTCCTAGCCACCGTGATGATGGTGAGAGAGACAAACTTCCTGTGTACCAGGCGAGGTAGTTAACATCTCCTAGCCACCGTGATGATGAGAGAGAGAGACACAGACCTCCTGTGTACCAGGCGAGGTAGTTAACATCTCATAGCCACCGTGATGATGATGATGAGAGAGAGACACAGACCTCCTGTGTACCATGCGAGGTAGTTAACATCTCTTAGCCACCGTGATGATGATGAGAGAGAGACACACAGACCTCCTGTGTACCAGGCGAGGTAGTCAACATCTCATAACCACCGTGATGATGAGAGAGACACAGACCTCCTGTGTACCAGGCGAGGTAGTTAACATCTCCTAGCCACCGTAATGATGATGAGAGAGAGACATAGACCTCCTGTGTACCAGGCGAGGTAGTCAACATCTCATAGCCACCGTGATGATGAGAGAGACACAGACCTCCTGTGTACCAGGCGAGGTAGTTAACATCTCCTAGCCACCGTGATGATGAGAGAGAGACACAGACCTCCTGTGTACCAGGCGATGGAGTTAACATCTCCTAGCCACCGTGATGATGATGAGAGACACACAGACCTCCTGTGTACCAGGCGAGGTAGTCAACATCTCCTAGCCACCGTGATGATGATGAGAGAGAGAGACACACACCTCCTGTGTACCAGGCGAGGTAGTCAACATCTCCTAGCCACCGTAATGATGATGAGAGAGAGAGACACAGACCTCCTGTGTACCAGGCGAGGTAGTTAACATCTCATAGCCCCCGTGATGATCATGATGATGAGAGACACAGACCTCCTGTGTACCAGGCGAGGTAATTACGCAGTCGGCCGATCTGCAGGCAATAAAAACCCAACCCTCACCAACCAATTTCATCGTCTTGTACGAACCAATAAACGCGTTTTCGCTCTGATCTCGTAATGCCCGTGACCGTGAACTTGAAGCCCGCGGTCTCCGCCTTGTGGTGGGAGTCGGGATAACTCGAAGTCGTCATCAATCGGCATCTTTTGTGGGGAATATATTAAATACAGGACAATAGTCTCTGGGTTCACGTTGCTTTTTTACAAAAATAATTCCACGAAAACTACCGTGAAGCGAAATAACTGTCGATCGAATTCACTTATAAGTGGAGCAATTAGTAAATAAACCAAAAAAAATCACTGAGTCTGCACAACAGAAAAGCTGTTTCCACTGCCAAAAGAGAAGTTGTATAATGTGAGACAAAGCCAGTGGAGGTCGAGACGCTGATTGGCTGAGGGCGCAGCTCAGCCCCGCTTTTCAAGCGCTCCGATTGGCCGAAATTGGCGCCACCACGTGCACAGCGTGAACACGTGACCGTTAGTCACAATGTCAACCATAGGGGAGGGGGGGAGGTCCTAGGGGAAGCGAAACGTTCACCGAAGAACCGTGAACCGATGTCACTGTTAACCGAGGAACTACCCGATAAGTACAGAAATACCCCGATACGTCTCCCCCCTGTTACATCGTTTGACAAACACGTCCTTACTCTGTTGTTATTGTTATCACCGCTACTAGCTCGTGATTTGCGTCGCCTCAACCCCACGCTCACGTCGCTGACGGCATCGTCGTCCGTCCGTCCTCGTTATCCGTCGCCTCTCAGCCTCCACCACCACCACCACCACTGCCACCACCACCACGACCGCCACCACCACCACCGCCACCACCACCACCACCGCCACCACCACCACCACCACCGCCGCCACCACCACCGCCGCCACCACCGCCGCCACCACCACCGCCACCACCACCACCACCACCGCCACCACCACCACCACCGCCACCACCACCACCGCCACCACCACCGCCGCCACCACCACCGCCACCACCACTGCCACCACCACCACCGCCACCACCACCGCCGCCGCCGCCACCACCACCGCCACCACCACCACCACCACCGCCACCACCACCACCACCGCCACCACCACCACCGCCGCCACCACCGCCACCACCACCACCGCCGCCACCACCACCGCCACCACCACCACCACCGCCACCACCACCACCACCACCGCCACCACCACCACCGCCACCACCACCGCCACCACCACCACCACCACCGCCACCACCACCACCACCACCACCGCCGCCACCACCACCGCCACCACCACCGCCGCCACCACCACCGCCACCACCACCGCCGCCGCCGCCGCCACCACCGCCACCACCACCGCCACTACCACCACCACCGCCACTACCACCACCACCGCCACTACCACCACCGCCACTACCACCACCACCACCACCACCGCCACCACCACCACCACCGCCACTACTACCACCACCGCCACTACCACCACCACCACCACCACCACCGCCACTACCACCACCTCCGCCACTACCACCACCGCCACTACCACCACCACCACCACCGCCACCACCACCGCCACTACCACCACCACCGCCACCACCACCGCCACTACCACCACCACCACCACCGCCACTACCACCACCACCGCCACCACCACCGCCACTACCACCACCACCACCACCACCGCCGCCGCCACCACCACCACCACCACCACCGCCTACCCCACCTGTAAATCGCCCCATTCAGCAACGCACCCCGACGTGAGAGCCGGGTATTGCTGCACATGAACATACTCGTCTCTCCGCACGTCAAGTATTTATCATGAAAACAAGATTAGGTTTGACCCTTTCTGGCAATAAACAGGAGGTGTTAAGATCTTCTTGGTTCTTTCAGGAAAGTCACGTAGAACGGAAATAATCAAATCATAAAAATAAAACATAATACATAATTCTCACGACGTTTCGGCCACAACGCAAGCAGCCGTCCTCAGGTGGAGAACAGGTCTGTCGAGAAGACAGAGTCATTCAGATATTTGCCAAACATCCAAATGCTAAACTATATACCTCCAAAATACTCAATTGGGATTATGCATTGCAACTTCGCCCCCCCCCCCCCTGCTAAAATTTGGCAGGACCCTCCTGAAAAAGAGTCTTGAGTCTCAGGCTTTCCAGGGTAAACAGGCACAACACTGTAAACTAAGTATACGGTGCTGCTGCTGGATTAACAGCGGTGCACAAGCATAACAACAAAAACACTCAAAAGTTAAAATATATAATAGGCGACGTTTCGGGCAATGGACCTTCTTCATAGCACATGATGGAGGCAGCCCAATGGCCATGTGCTAGGAAGAAGGGCCATTGTAGTAATAATAATAATAACAGATGGTCATATTAAATGATCTGGTTACTGCTGGCACGTGTGTTAGAGGCGTTGCGTGTGGAGTGTAAAGCTGCAATGATTAGAAGACTCGCGGCAGACTTGAGTTGATTGAACTGCAGATGAAGCGCTTTCAAATGACGTTTATTCAGACTATAAGCAGCAATAAACACACACACAAGCGGATACAAATTCGAGGTTCGATCAGTAAAGGGAAACCGATATCACTATCAATGTCATGCACGTGAAATGTACCGCACTATTGTAAAAAAAAACCTATTGTGTCGTGGTAACGCCGAATACCGACCCGTGACTACTATCGCACACTGATGAATAGTAACGGTACGAGATTTTAGAACCGCGTGCGAAAGAAAACGTGGGCTACATTTATGATTTTATTATGTCAGCTATGTGACCTGTCATGTGACGATCACCCTAACCCTTCTAGGCACAATGAGACCCTACTCCAAGTCAGTGGCAGGCCGTGTATTTTACACCGATGACTTCAGTGCTATCCTCCTGCAATTAAACCTCCTTCGAATAACCTCACCATGACACTAGGGCTATAGGCTGTTGTCATTCGACGTAACCATTCCCATGTTCACAGTGACAGTCACCTTTGTCGAGTGGAACGAAGTGATTTGACACGAGGCTCAACACCTGTGAGAGTTACAATACACTTATTGCAGAGGCATGAATACATGGTGACTGTAACCATCAAGGATGTAGCACTATTACGCAGTATGACAGGATGCTGCATCACAAATAGACATCGCTTAGTCCAAATCAATGTCATTACCAAAGAAACAACAACAAACTCACAACAAACAGTCGCATTTACTCATACGACCACCAAGCAAGCAAAAATGCCGTATAGCACAATCAGGATTCAACAGGCTCCCCACAGAATAAAAAAACAATCTAAAGCACTACATCTAAAAATCCCAACGTCACAAAATAAAGGGTGATGAGGCCGAGGTATAAAATGTATAAAAAACAAATACAATTTCCCCTCCACAGTTAGTGGGTGCCCAAATTATAAAATATTGCTTTCAGATGTGTCTAGTTGCACGTACACAAGTTGGACTACGCAGTATTTGTGCCGGTAGCTGTTTAGCTCCTTCCCAGTAAACATTGAATGTTCGGCTAACGTTGCTTCCAACCACATGCCAACGTTCGTCCAACGCTGCATGTTTATTGGGTTTGTGTTGTGTTCTTTGTGGGAATACATTTCAACATAACACATTTTCAGGGGGAATTTGCAGTGTTATGTAATATTTGTGTTGTGTTTGGCACAGATATAAACCCTTTGGTTGCGGTGGCTCTGCATTTGGCTCAACCATCTCTCTCGCGATATTTCTCTCAACGGCCCCACCAGCTGTATTTGTTCACCTGAGGACGATCGCTTGTGTTGTGATCGAAACGTCGTGATTTTTAAAAAAATCCTTTATATTAAGTTCACTTGCTTGCTTGCTTACGTGCTTGCGTGCTTGCTTACGACCGTGCAAATCTTTCGGTCGTTTTTTAACCCACTTCCCGTGATCCAATCGAGCTGACATTTTGCACACAGACTCGTTGTGCGAGACAATTAATGTTCGTGAAAAAAATTTCCAAAATTTTACACTGTTTAGGGAAAACAAATAAAATATTTAATTACCAATTGCTTAATACTGGCAGACAATCATCTGACCCATAGGTGGCAGCCATCTCAAACCAGAGGACGAGAGGACTCTAGCCGCCACGCATATAAAGGATTTATAGTGATAAACTTTGTTTTTAAGGGTTATACTTATTAAAAAAATCCTTTATATTAAGTTCACTTGCTTGCTTGCTTGCGCGCTTACGACCGTGCAAATCTTTCGGTCATTTTTTAACCCACTTCCCGTGATCCAATCGAGCTGACATTTTCCACACAGACTCGTTGTGTGTGACAATTAATTTTCGTGAAAATTTTTTTCCAAAATTTTACACTGTTTAGGGAAAAATAAATTATATTTAATTACCAATTGCTTAATGGTGACAGGCAATCATCTGACCCATAGGTGGCAGCCATCTCAAGCCAGAGGACGAGAGGACTCTAGCCGCCACGCATATAAAGGATTTATAGTGAAAAACTTTGTTTTTACAGGTTATTGTTTTACCTTTTTATTATTTTCTATTTACGTGACTTTACCGAAAGAACCAAAGAATATGAGACAATTTTTTTCTCATGGTTGGGTTAAAAAACACAAAAGTAAAAATGTTTGCCCTAAATAATGTTTTCTGAGTGCGGTATTCGGCGAAGACCCTGGGGCCGGCCCAGGACACGCCACTGGCGGTGGGACGATGTCGCTGGTGGCCTGGGATCGACTGGGAATTCCCTAGGAAGAGCTAGGAGTCTGTATAGTGTATAGTGTAGTGTATAGTGGAGTGTATAGTAGTGTAGTGTATAGTGATGTATAGTGTAGTAGTGTATAGTAGTGTATAGTGTAATGTAGTAAGTGTATAGTAGTGTATAGTGTAGTGTAGTAGTGTATAGTGTAGTGTATAGCAGTATATAGTGTAGTAGTGGATAGTAATGTATAGTAGTGTATAGTGTATAGATGTGTATAGTGTAGTGTATCGTGTAGTAGTGTATAGTAATATATAGTAGTGTATAGTGTAGTGTATAGTGTAGTGTATAGTGTAGTAGTGGATAGTAATGTATAGTGTAGTAGTGTATAGTAATGTATCGTAGTGTAGTGTATAGTGTAGTGTATAGTAGTGTATAGTGCAGTGTATCGTGTCGTCGTGTATAGTAGTATATAGTAGTGTAGTCGTGTATAGTGTAGTTTATAGAAGTGTATAGTTTAGTAGTGTATAGTGTAGTAGTGTATAGTAATGTATAGTGTAGTAGTGTATAGAGTAGTAGTGTATAGTAATGTATAGTAGTGTATAGTGTAGTGTACCAGGACAAGCGGATTGAGAAACGAACAAAGCATTGGGAAATCAAAAAAATGTAATTATGTATTGATACAGGTACCGTTGATCACATCTAGATTATCATAAGACAATTATATATTCGATTTTATCACTGACCATTTGCAGATTTAACACTGACCAAAGTCGGTTTAACACCAACCTGGTTTCCATCTCAGCTCTCACTATAATCTTGGCTATAACCTAAAGCTCACCCTGACTACATAGCAGGGACGTGTGTTTTAATTGGCATATATCATATTTTGTAAATGCCGTAGAGCATATATAAATGAACATGTGCGGTCCTTGTGTTTATCATATAATGCACTGGCAGTGCAGACATGCGGCTATGTAAATGTGTGCATGTATAGCGTGTTTATACAGGTGTTACATTTGTAATGTGACTGCATACAATAACAGAATTCTAAATAATAGTTAAAGCTCTCTGGTTGTACCGAGCGCTGTTCGGCATGATATCTGACGATTTGTTCCACACACTGGTAGTTTATTCAGGAAATTAATTCAGTTTTAATCCATGTACGGGGAGCTTCTACAATAACTAAATTGTGTTCTTGAAGCATCGAATATCCTGCCGAAAAACACGCGGCACAACCGGGAAGTATTGGAGAGGTGTACAGCAAAATGGTGAAAACCTACGCAGTGAAATATTAATCCATAATAGAGTTTTTTTTTTGGTTAGATCGCGTAAATATATAAATGCAGTCGTTAAACCCGCCACCACCCGACACAACCAACTAGTAAGGGTTGTCACGTAAACAGAACGTGCCAATTCGTCACTAGTACAGCACACCGGTGTGTTGGAGAGCAAAGCCACAACATTTACAATCAAATACTCGCTTCAGTTACTTATATCGTTACACAGCAGAACTCCACGAACCCTCGCTCCAATAATCCACGAAAGCCTGCAACTCACACATTCTGTCGCTCCCTCAATCCGCAGCACGCCGCGGCAGATTAAGAACATTCTGTCGAGCACAGACCACGATCCGTGGACGTGGGCAGCCTGCATGTGGAGCTGCAGGAGTTGAGCTGCAGGGGGACCGCAGAGGTCAAGTTTACGATGATCAATCTCATTGTTGGTTTGTGTAAAGCAGACGAGCTGTGCTCACGTGATTTGTTGAGGCGATACATTTTTTTTTCACTTTAATCTCAAGCCTAAATCATCCGGCAGATTTGCGCCGTTTGCTGGTTACAAAAACAACCGCAACCTTGCAATCCGCGAATTTACCGTGGATTGCTTTGGCCGCTGGCCACGTGCCGCGATTCTCCTGCAAAATCCGCGATTATATTTCCCCCGTAGATCAATGGAACCACGCGGCCCTTTCCTCCCATCGTCCGGGGGTGCCCCGCGCCAGCGCAATCGATCCAAAGCCTGCGCGCAAGCGCTCAACATCAACGGGGATTGGAACGGAGTTCCGCTGTTTTTCATTTTCTTTCCGCAACCGGCTCGTCACGCGGAGGGGCTCGGCGCTGGCGACTGCACGCCGCTTCTGAGCTTCAAGACGTTTATGGCGCTGAGGGCCTCGTTGGCACTTGGCCTGAGATGCGCAGCGGCCGTCCAGCACTTGGTCATGGTGCGAGCAAAGTCGATCAGAATCTGCGCGCGCGCACACACGCGCAACAATGGCAAGATATTAAGGGCACTCACAGATTTGGAATTGCAGTTTCCACGACTTCTGTAAAGTGAGGCATTGGCATGACCTCTAATATGATGATATTTTCTGTGACGGATCAAGTTTGCCCTTGTAATAATTATACAAAATACAACGCGCACTGCTGAATCTGAAAGTACACGTACCGGAGGGCACATCAGTCAAAGTCATCATCTGTATAAGCCATGGTCTATTCACTGCTGGGTGAAGGCCTCAACATGGCCTCACGATGCGATAATACATCTCCAGCTGCTGCACCAACATCAGCTCCATTTCCAGCCGCTGTCCCTCCATCCATTCCATCGCCTTCCTCGCTGAACGCCGTCGGATTGCAATTTAAAGCGCCCTCAAAAGGGCACTATGTAAATGCGAAATAGAATAGATTTAACACGTAGGCTTTCGCGACCAATATTCTTCATAATAAAGGTTTTTGGGTTCGATCACGTAGGTATAAATGTGTCGTAACCCTTCACCACCTGACACGGCCAATCAGTAAGGGATTTGTCACGCAAACAACGCGCCAATTAGTTACTACTTCAGCCCACCGGTGTGTTGGAGAGTGAATCCACAACATTTACAATTTGAGTAGTACGTCGTTTCGCTGGTAATTATATCCAGCATCATCGGGTGATTTGCCAGAACACACAGCCAAATTTTTTCTTTTTCACATATGAAACTTACCAGTTAAAATCTATTATAATTATTTATATTATACAAAAATCATCATTTTAAGTATTAAATCTAGCGCACCAACGATCACAGTTAATTCATTTAAATCCGAAAACATTAAATAAAAAACTAAATTCGGCCCAAAATCCAATATCCAAAATGTTTTCATGCAAAACTCATTCCTAATTCTAAAAAAGCTAGCTAGATAGATATACATTCCTACCAATGAACATTTGTTCTCCCCCACCTATCCCCATGGGAATGAACAATTGTTCCAACCATTATGAAACCCTTTAGCATTCGGGTTACGGTTCGGGTTGGCTATGGTTAGTTACCGCCCAGGAAAGGACAAAGATAAAACTACATTGGTTCGGCCAAAGTGGTGAAGATCAAACTGATGGGATGAAAAAGTGAAACGGAGAATGAAAGTAGACTCATCAATTGTTTCGTAAACAAGTTAGAAGCCCGGGTCAGGTGACACAATTATTCTGACTTTCTGGATTGTCCTGAAGATGCTTGACGCAGTTTCAAGTGCAACATAGCGTGTCTCTTTGCTACATTTCGGTTGTGACATTCGTTCTCCACTGTTGAGCTGAAACGATAACAAGACGCTTGTACATGCCAACAATTTATTTTGTTCAGCTATGTTAGGCAGTGGAGGTTCTTACGACAATGATTTGGCCAGATCATTGGATGGCTTAACCCTGAAATCGATTATGAATCAAAATACTGTCTGCGAAAATCTTCACGATAAGTTATAAAGGTGGTCGTAAAGTGAAGGCTTTACAGAACTTGGGAAATGCAACATAAACATCACTTAGTAATAAAAGTAACAGGGTACAAATATTGGGAAGGGGAACAAATATGCACTCCTGGCGGGGCAGGAACTCTTCATCGGAGTAGCGTGTCTTCTTCTAGCTCCCACTCCCGTCACAGTGGCTGTGTGTCGATGCGGAGTCTGTGTCTCACCGGGTGCGACAGCCAATGGGGACTCAAGGTGGGCCGCTGTCCCTGCACGTGCACCACTTGAGCCATCTCCTCCAGCGTGGGCATCTCTGACACGAGGCCGCCGTACGGCACCTGGTATCCGTCTGCGGGGCGGCCTGCACACGCGACGCGCAGTCAACGCCACGACGAGCGAGGCCACAGCGTAGGGTCTACGCCAAACGTCGCGTCAGTGACCCTCCACCACCCGACAAGATTGTCACGTTTACCGGGGTATCATTTATACCGTGCCAAAGTACAGCATTGGTCATGTTCTGACCAATAAAGCTCCACACTGGGGACTTAAGAAGTTAAACTAAAAACATTTTTTTTATTTTATCAGGTAAGGCCCGCTGAGCTGTGTAACTCTATTTTTCAGAAGCGACCTGGCCACTAATGATAGCCCAACGAAGCGGCTTATCACGTGGAAATGTACAGCAGCAAAATACTCTAAACGCGTGATGTTGATTCTAAATGTCGAGGTAAAACCCGGAGGACCCGGAGACAAAGACACGAGACCACTGGGAGAGAGACACTACAGACTTCACATATACAGCAGGCGGCACGGTTCAGATCGAACCCACGACCTTCTGCATACCGGGCGAGGTCGTTAACATCTCATAGCCACCGTGCCAACCTTTAATGACGTAATTTAACATCAGAGTGCGACGGCGTTTGAGCTAAGACGACTTTGAGCCTCATCAGGTTGTGAACTCAGAAGTCGAGTAGACTCCCTGTGGTATAGGGAGTCTACCCCTCGCCCCTCCACTCCTTCCCATCCCTCCCCTACCCCTTCGTCATTCCTAAGCACCCCTCTATCGCTCTCACTCATTCCTATCCTTGCAGCACGCCCCTGCCATCTAAATCACTCTATTCTGTCATCGCTTTGTAAGCTATGCCGAGCGCCTTGCGTTGAAGGCACTCCATAAATATGAACTAGATTAGATGTGTGTACGTAGAACTTCTTTCGCGCCGTACGTAGCCAACCGTGCTGATCGTGCTGTATTAGTGGAGACTGATATCTGACGACAGATGTCATTCCAGACAGCAAATGCGTCAACTTCATACAAGGCGTATTCACATTCAACGATATTCACGTCGTCGTTTACGTATATTGATACCGTACGTGAATATTCACTTGGTATTCTTGGTTCTTTCGGTAAAGTCACGTAGAAGGGAAATAGTAAAATAAAATATTGCTTGATATTAATATTATTTTAGTATTTCCCTTTTACGTGATTTTACCGAAATAACCAAGAATATGAATCCCTGCAGTCACGAAAGTTTTTAATCAAAATTCACTTGGTAATTTTCGTATACCCTCGTCCACCCGACGCATCGGGATGTTTGCCCAAGTCCACGCGTGTGGGACATTTAAACTTGGGCGGTGAGGTCACCTGGAGAAGCCCCCACGCGGTCCCCATTCTGCAGACAAGGCGTGTACCGCCGTCTTCCGTGCAGTAGATGGCGGTAGAGTTCATGTATTTGGTGATTTGAACATTTCACAGCAAAACAATACTCCCTTGGGTCTTTGGGGCCGTCCATAAATGACGTCACGCGATTTTGGACGATTTCCCCCCCCCCCCAGTCACACGGCGTCACAAAAAGACAGCCCCCCCCCTCAAATATGACGTCACAAAGCTCTGCCCCCCCCCAAAAAATAAAACATGCTTCAAATCGCTATAAACTATTGTCATTGTAGCGCGTATTTAATGTGGCGCTGCACTCTGATATTGTAGGAGAAAACATTTATCAAAAAGTATATTTAATTCAGTAGAACGTGTTGTCTATATTTATTTAAAGTTGTGCATTTTGATGTGACGTCACATTTTTCACCCCCCCCCCCCGTCGTCACACATCGTCACAAATGTCTGACCCCCCCCCTTGGGTGCGTGACGTCATTTATGGACGGCCCCTTTCGGTAAAGTCACGTAGATAGGTTCAAATTAATAAAAAGAAAGTAAAAAATACAACTAACAAAAAACTACGACGTTTTGATCATGATTATTTTCACGTTATTTTTATTAATTTGAACCTATCCACGTGACTTTACCGAAAGACCCAAAGAACATGTACACGTGCTCATACACTTCCCCACACTCTGCAAATAGCCGTGCGTGCCTACGGACGGGAACATGGCTCAGGAGAATATCACGTGCACGCTCGTAAACTGCAGGCCCGGTGGGGTTTGCGGGGCCTGCCATGCATGTTCGTGTATGTTGAACTTCTTTCGCACCGCACGTAGCCAACCGTGCAAATCGGACGGTGCGACACATGTTTACACATGTTTACTACACATCTTCTTGGTTCTTTCGGTAAAGTCACGTAGAAGGGAAATAATAAAATAAAATAAAACATAATAAAATTAAATTCTCACGACGTTTCGACCACAATGCAAGCAGCCGTCCTCAGGTGAAGAACAGGGCTGTCGGAAAGAGACGCTGTGGCCGAAACGTCGTGAGAATTGCATTTTATTATGTTAAAATTTTTATAATTTTATTATTTCCCTTCTACGTGACTTTACCGAAAGAACCAAGAAGATGAATCCCTGCAGTCGCAAAAGCTTTAAATCGAAATTTTACTACACATGTTTACACACGTGCACGGCACGACAGCTGGCGCTGTGTGTCGGAGTATCGGGACATCCCTCTGGCCTGCAATGTCACGAATCACGACAATTTTTAGTTTTAAAGTTCGCAAAATCAATCCACCCGTGTGAAAATGTTTTCCCAGTTCTTCTTTTATCTTAAATTTACAAAGCGCCTTTATCCAAAGCGCTTCACAAAGTTTACGAGAGGGATGTGGTATGGGGGAGGGAGGTTTAGTGCGTCCGGGAATTCCAGTGGCTGCCTAGGGATGGAGGGAAGGATGGGGCCCAGGGAGAAGAGGCCGAGGTCTTCTTGAGGGAGGAGTGGAATGTGGACAGGGAGGGTGCTCGCTGTTTCACGTGGAGGGCATCTTGGCGCGCGTGCGTGCGCGTGCGCGTGCGTGCGTTTCTCTGCCTGCAGGCAATGCGTGCGTGTTTCGACAAACCCGGTAGGTCGGTGCATCTCGCGATCTCCCACAGCACGAGAGCCAGGCTGTAGATGTCCCCGCGGGTGTACGCCGCGATGGGGCCGCCGTGCTTCAGCGCGCCGCTCAGGAGTTCAGGAGGCGCATACCGGCGCGTTCCCGACAGCTCGCTGTCCGTCGGGATGAACGCCCTCTGTTCAGAACTTCGAATGCAGTTTCACGCGGATGGATTGATGTCAGAACACACAAACAAACAACGACAACAGCAGCAGCAATTCTAGAATACGATGACAGCAACTTGTGGAGACAGTGGCGGGGCATGCTGCTGCACGTAAACTACAACCCAGCACCCAGCACTGCGCCACGGTGGCTCTGAGATGTTGACGACCTCGCCTGGTACACAGGAGGTCGTCGGTTTGATCCCGAACCTGACGCCTGCTGCTGTATATTTGGAGTTTGCGGTGTCTCTCTCCCCGTGATCGCGTGGATTTTTCTTCGGGTCCTCCCTTCACATTTAGAAACATTCGTTGAGAGTGTTTGTCTGCTCTACATTTCCACGTGATGAAAAGCTACTTCGTTGAGCTACGATATGCGACCAGGTCGCTTCTAAAAAACGATCTGCATAGCTCGGCGGGCCTTATCTGGGGAAATAAAACACATTTTAGTTTTTTTTCTTGGTTCTTTTGGTAAAGTCACGTAGAAGGAAAATAATAAAATATTAAAAATAAAACATAATAAAATAATTCTCACGACGTTTTGGCCACAAGGCAAGCAGCCGTCTTCAGGTGGAGAACAGGTCTCTGTCTTTTCCTTCTACGTGACTTTACCGAAAGAACCAAGAAGATGAATCCCTGCAGTCACGAAAGCTTTAAATCGAAACATTTTAGTTTATTGCAAAGACGGTGGATCACCACACAGATGTTGTGAAAAAGAGCTTCACAGCTCATCGGGTTTCTCCAGGATTAATAAATATTCAGATTCTGAACTCCGTTCCTGTGCGAGCCATCTCCTGTGGCTTGCCAGGAGGCAGCGCCACGCACAGCAGCACGTGGACTCCATCTGTCCGCACGTTTAGTTTTTTTATTAAACATTCACTTAATTGTCTGCACATGTCTTGATCTATGTACGTGCCCTATGCGTGGCGAGATGCAGTTTGCACGAATGGTGCTACAGCAGCAGCATATACAAACGCCTGTCACTGCTCGTCTAAATGTTGCACGTCAATCAGACAATGTCTGTCAAGTTGAGCTTCTTTCGCACCGTACGTGACCTCTCTCTCTTCCTAGCATTTTTCCCGCTGTGGCACAGGGTCCGCTTTTCGGCATTGTCTTCTCCATTTGGCTCGGTCCAGGGCATCTTCAGGGGATGCGTTGACCGTCTTCATGTCTTCCTTTATTCCATCCATCCATCGCTTCTTCGGACGTCCGCGTGGACGGCGGCCCTCTGGCTCAATACGCACCGTACGTGACCAAGCGCGCTGATCGGAGGTGCGGGGGGTAAGCACAACAAACTAAACACGACCACGACGACAAGCAGCAGCTCTAAAGAAATCTAGATTTCAATCGAGATTCAAAGGTGCATAGCTCCGGCTGCTTCCTGTCAGCATCACATTGGTGATAGCAGCGAGAGACACGGGGAGGAGAGAGAGGATGAGGAGGGGTGCTGGGGAGAGGCGAGAGAGAAGTAGGTGGACGCTAAACGTTCAAGTCACCTCTCGTGATACGCAGAGAGTCCGAAGTCCGCCACGCAGCACTCCCCGTTGCTCTTCACCAACACGTTCTTGCTCTTCAGGTCTCGGTGTGCGACGGAAGGTTTGGGTATGTGTCCCGCGATGCTCGTGTGCAGGTGTCTCAGGCCGTTGACCAGCGAGTGGGAGAGCACCATCACCTGCACGCAGGAACAACACGAAGTGCAACTCAAAGACGAGACGTGAAGACTTTCTTCATTTCGACTTGGAGCGCGCCGCACGCTTCTTCGCCTCGTCTCGAAGAGGAAGAATGACGCGGACGAAGGCAGACAAGCACCCCCCCCCTCCCCTCCTCTGTCCACCTCCAAGCTCTGCGGTTCTCTGTATATTAAGTTCTTTTCGGCCAAGTCATTATTGCTTATATATATGTGTGCGTGGGAGGAAACCGTAGCGACCGGAGGAGTTCGTCACGTGCACATGGTGTTGGACCAGATGACGCAAAAAGCTGTCTCGGGTGTGGACCAATCCATTTCAGGGACAGTGCATACATTATCGGAGTTGTCTTTTTGTTTGCATTTTGACCGCAAGTGTTGTGGTTAATGCAAACATGATCCCTTGTATAAAGGTGTCAGTTTTGTTGCCAGGTAAAAGGGTAAAAAACTATTACTACATCTTGCTACTGGCAAAGGAGGTCTCATGAAGTTAAGGCCCACCGAGCTCCACAGCTCTTCTTTCAGAAGCGACCTGGTGATCACAAATGATAGCTCAACGAAGATGCTAATCATCGCGTGGACAATTTATAGCAGGCAAATACTCGAAACGCATAGTGACGTTGATTCTAAATGTGGATAAAAAAAACCAGAGGACCCGGAGAAAAATCCACGCGACCATGGGGAGAGAGACACGCAAACTCCAAATATAGAGTTTGTTCTCCTATAACGCTGCGTCTTTTTATCACGCGAATTGGATATCAGCGGTTGTACGGCTGCTTTGGCGTAGCATCATCACACAAGACGGCGGGATGCTGCTGGATGCTTCTAGATGCTACCCACGTGCCTCAGTCTTTGTTCAGCCTGCGTACGCATCTCACCGTGTTATCGCGGACTGTGCTGTACCCTACACGATACATTGTTTATTATAACGCCGTTTTCCCATAACGCAGCGCTCTCCAGGAAGCCAACCGCCGCGTTATAGGAGAACGGACTGTCCAGGCGTCAGGATCGGGATTGAACCCACGACCTCCTGCATACCAGTCGAGGTAGTCAACATCTCAATGATGTGCCCAGCAGCTGCATGCGAGGAGCTGATTTAAACCGCTGGATCGCCCCCATCGATAGATGCACTCGCAGACGCGTTCCACTCACTGGCTACTGGACATCTGGATACGTGCGAAAAAGAGCTTCATAGCTCATCGGATTCCTTCAGTCTGAACAAAGTTTCCGATTCTGATTCTTGGCTGCCACTCCACTTTTATTCTTGAGCAGACGCCAATAATCTTCTGCTTCGACCCATCCCTGCCCAGGCTTCTCTGACTCTTATTCTTAGGTTTTTTTTTTTCGGTAAAGTCACGTAGGTAAAACATCAAAATTAATAAAAATAAATTAAATAAAACAAAAATCACGACGTTTCGGAGGCAACACAAGTCTCCGTCATCAGGTGGGACCGTCACAGCCGGATTAGCTGCATTAGCTGCATCAATTGATGCAGCTAATCCGGCTGTGACGGTCCCACCTGATGACGGAGACTTGTGTTGCCTCCGAAACGTCGTGATTTTTGTTTTATTTAATTTATTTTTATTAATTTAGATGTTTTACCTACGTGACTTTACCGAAAAAAAAAAAAAACCTAAGAATATGAATCCTTGCAGTCACGAAAGCTTCAAATCTAGAATTCTCTGACTCTCTCTAGCAGTTTGAGTTGTGCCTAGAGCCTGCACAGGTGCGCAGTTTAATTCCCAGCGTGCACGTCTCGACACTTCTTTGTGCATTTTTTAATTTTCATCTCCCTCCATATCTAATTCTAGATGTGAAGCTTTCGTGACTGCAAGGATTAATACTCTTAGGTTTTTTTCGGTAAAGTCACGTAGGTAAAAAATTTAATTAAAATTAATAAAAGTGCGTGACTTTACCGAAAAAACCTAAGAGTATGAATCCTTGCAGTCACGAAAGCTTCAAATCTAGAATTAATACCCTCTACGGGGAGGAATTCCACCTATCTGTTAGAGTTTTTAACAGACAACGAGACAAGAAGTCACAGCTTCTCGAGACGCTGGCCTTCCTCAAGAGATGCCGAGATACAAGGTCGGGTCTCTTGGAATTACCCTTTACTTGATACAGCAATCGGGCTGTGACGGTTCCACCTGAAGACGGAAGCTTGTGTTGCCTCCGAAACGTCGTGATTTTTTATTTTACTTTTATTAATTTCAATTTTATTTTTTACCTACATGACTTTACCGAAAAAAACCTAAGAGTATGAGTATCCCTCCATATCGTCGGTGAAGACCGATGCAAAATGCAACCACGTGTGTGTCTCGTTAATGGCGCCGATGCGATGCACATCTCCTTACCTGGGGGAGTTGGACGCTCTGAGCGAGCAGAAAGTCGTACAAAGAACCGGCTGGATGTAGCTCCGTAATGATGTAGTGGATTGTGCAGTCAGGCCACCCGTACGTGTCTGAACCCAGGCACGCTGGCGGTAGGGGAGGGAGGGGAGAGTCGCGCATATGCACAGGACGGCACACACCATGCACACGTGGGTGGTGAGTGGGCAGTGGGTGAGACGAAGGGAAACAGTCTTACGGGAATTCGTTCCCATGATCCCAGGCGATATACGTGTTCGCTTGTCGGCATTAACTGAGTTGGTGCCAATTTAGGGGTTTCCAATTCCTTAACGTCGCCAAATCAACAGGGAATTTTCGCGATAGCAATTTGAAGCGAGCGGGGTTGTAGATCCACGCGCGCGCACCCAGCACGTTGGGATGGCTCTGCAGGTGGGTCTTGTACATGTCGAGCTCCCACAGGAAGCTCGCTTCGTTTTTGCTCAAGATCATCTTGGCGGCCACCGCTCGGTCCCTCCACACCGCGCGCGACACTTGGCCAAATCCGCCCACGGCCAGCCTCGTTCCCAGCTGCACCTCGTTCAGCAGCGACTTCTGCGCCGTGCGGGAGACAGGACGGGCAACGTTGCAAACCGAGACGAAGCTCCGCACAAAGATTCAGCTAGCGCGGGGCCTGTAGCATGTGCTGTTATAAAGGGGCACTAAATAAAAAACACACAAATACTAAAACACACATTTTTTACTTGCATAGTCAATTGTATTTTTTCATTTGCTATACAGCCAGATAATACGACAAATCGCTAACCTTAAACACCCAGTCGTTCATAAAAGTTTTAGGCGGTATAGTACTATAGTAATAGAGCAAGTGCGGAATCACTGAACCGGAATTGATAGCTTGAAAGCATTTAGCGCGGGCCCTTGAAAGTGCGGAGCCCGTAGCTACTACATGTGTAGAAGTAGCTACTACTACGTATGTAGCTTATCCGCAGAACAGTCGCGAGCATTGGTAAGCTGCTTAGCTACGCATCACCGGGGAAAATCGCCGATATCCGTGGTTAAAATAAAAAAGTAAAAATGGTCGCGGATGATGATGATGATGATAATCAGAGTTGTTCGCAGCTGCCGCGAATGGCAATCGGCCGCAGGTAAGAGGAGTCGCGGACGAGGAAAGTTTGACTGCGATATCTCTCACCCTCTCGGCGTGCTTCTCCTTCGGGTTAGGGAATTGCTGATCGATGTGAAGGATCTCCTTGAACGGACGAAGAGGGGACAACAGCAACAGACAAAAACATCGAGACGCCAAAAAATTTCATCCGGAAATATTTTTTGTTTTACATCTCACGACATTCGCAGGCGAAGTCGGCCGGACGGAGTCGAGCTTCAACCCAACGTCGTGATTTGCGTGGCGCGATCGCTAAACAAACAACAATTGTTGTTGTCGCTGCTGATACTTAACAATATCGTCCGTAATATATTTGGTAGTTTTTTTTGGGTTAGATCGCGTAAATATATAAATGTGTCGTTAAACCCGCCACCACCCGACACAGCCAACTAGTAAGGTTTGCCAGATTTGGCTGTTCGCCTGATGATGCTAGTTGTAATTACTGGCGAAACGTCGTGCTCAGATTGTAAATGTTGTGGATTTGCTCTCCAACACACCCCTGTGATGAACTAGTAACGAATTGGCACGTTTTGTTTACGTAACAACCCTTACTAATTGGCTCTGTCGGGTGGTGGTGGATTTAACGACACATTTATACATCTTTTCGTGATCTAACCCAAAAAAACCTCTATTGTGAATGATATTGCGTGAAAGTGGTGAAATGCGTCTCTCAGCACCATTTGTCGTCCACACAGCTGGACGTCGTTGCTGCTGAGTCTGGACCATGTCAGGCTGAAAACAACAACACAATTGATGAAGAAAACAAACCGTAAAGACGCGTGGGCTAAGCAGTATTCACATACGGCCTATTACATTACATTAATAATATAGTAATAGGAAGGGGTAATTAACGATGATTTGGTAGGGGATACGCTCGCGCTCAGAGGCGCGAGGAGGAACCACAGACGAACAGTGGGGGGGGGGGGGGGGGCACGTGCCCCCCCCCCCCAATGATCCGATCGAAATCCTTAATTTCGATCGGATCATTGGGGTTTATTAGTAATAAATCGGCATTTTGCGACCCCCACTGCCACTGTGTAGCATATTTTTTACGTGCCAGGGACTCTATGAGATGATAGGACAATAGTCTGAGTCCATAATTGGCAATAAGTAACGTCAAAGCAGTTATACGTGACTCACAGAATTGTGCGCAGTTGCGTATACAGCACACGACTTCCCTGAAGGCATTCACCTTCAGCGAGCGCGATGCCGATCACACACAGTTCGAATTCGACCCTCAATCGATGGCTGCGCCATCGCCGCACACGTCTCGAATAACAAGCAAGGGACAAGTCCTTACTCTTTGTTTTTTTGGTAAAGTCACGTGGGTATAAAATATAATAAATCACGACGTTTCGGGCGCAACACAAGCGTCCATCATCAGGTGGGAAAGCATGGTCTGCTGCTGAGGCAGACTGTTTTAAATCCTTAGTTTCAACTCCTTACTTACTAACAACTTCTTACTTACTAACAACTCCTATAATTTTTTCATTGCTGGAGGGGTTGCCCCCCTACCTGAAAATCCTGGCTCCGCCATTGCATACAATAACATGTTCGGCTATAACGACGTCTCTGTTATTTCGGTTGCACCGCGTAATTGACGGTGGTAATAAAACACAAACATTTAAAGGCACATTTCTCGCAATTAGGTTATCGTGCGTGTGGCGTTCATGCGCATGACAGTTATCAAACCAGCCTGGTGCTGTTCAGTGACACACACACATGCCGGGAGCGGATACTACATTTTACGCTGTTGCTTATTTTTGGGAAAGATATTTTTTCCTATTTGCAGCAATGTTTTATAAAAAAATATTTCGTCGTTTATGGTTCATTTTTGGAATCAAATCATTTGTTTGTGAATTATGTTCCTGAACATGTTTGCACTTCATTCATCTGCCGATTCGGGTGCCCCTCCTCGTGGCCTGGGCTCCCTGCGGGTCGCTTAAAGCTGCCACACAAAGACAAAGATCCCCCGTGTAGCCTGTAACAGACTGTTGGGGCAAGTGCTGTTAGCGAGCAGCACCTACGAAGCCCGGCACGGTGCACGAGGGGGTGGGTGGCCAGCACACACACACCCACCCCACAGTGCACCCTACCCACGCAGATGCCCACGATGATGATGATGATGATGACCAGTACCTGCACAACAGCGCAACGAGTCCCATGGTGAACAGGATAATGGTGATCAAGACGTATCTCATCGTCGATCCGCGCTCGCCGCCGTCTGCAACACAAGCGCGTCGATGGATTGCGCGCGTCGACGGATAGCGTGCGCGCACTTTTCTTTGAACGGCGCACTCGGATCGTGAACTCCAGCGTCTGCCCGCGGGTGGTGTCGGCGCGCATTCGAAGCGGTTTCGTCGGACGAGACTCAAAACGTTCGCTACGTTGGCCCCCCGGAGAATAAACACGAAGCAGCACAGCCGTCAACACTTGATCAGTGCCCCCTAGCTTACTACAGACCAAGTCAGACCTCGCTGGTCACCCCGTGACCCTTACACATCTCAACGTTCATCCTACAAAGTCACATCGCCACAAGGGAGAAACACAAACACATAGACAATCACCACCACTACACTCACCACTAGTATAGTCACCACTAGTACACTCACCACTACACTTACCACTAGTACACTCACCACTAGTACACTCACCACTAGTACACTCACCACTACACTCACCACTACAGTCACCACTAGTACACTCACCACTAGTACACTCACCACTAGTACACTCACCACCAGTACACTCACCACTAGTACACTCACCACTACACTCACCACTAGTACACTCACCACTACACTCACCACTAGTACACTCACCACCACTACACTCACCACCACTACACTCACCACTAGTATACTCACCACTACACTCACCACTAGTACACTCACTACTACACTCACCACTACACTCACCACTAGTACACTCACCACTACACTCACCACTACATACCTGTCAACCTGTTATCAGTATACCCTACATTATTACAGACCAATTCAGACCCTGTTGGTCACCCCGTGCCCCTTATACATCTCAATGTTCATCCTATACATTATACACTACAAGATATACACTACATTATACACTACACTAATATACACTACACTATACACTACACTGCTACATGCCTGTCAACCCCTTATCAGGGCCTTACTTTGTCACAGATCAATTCAGACCTTCAACATTGGAGCTTTCATGTCAGTATCAAAGTATAAGAATCGGTCTCACCCTGTCTGGCAATCTGTTACCAGCGCGTGTTCTGTTTGCATGTTCATCACAATCACCGTGTGTGTGGTTAATGCAGTAACTTGATTTATTGTAAAAGGTTTCTGTTTGGTGTTTGAACATCTTAGCACATATTCTTTGGGTCTTTCGGTAAAGTCACGGAGATAGGTTCAAAGAAAATAACAAAAACAACAAAAACTACGACGTTCCATTATCACCTCCTGTTTTATCACCAGGAAGGGTAAAACCGATTCTTATACAAGTCACACCGTATTGGTCACCCCGTGCTCTTATACATCTTCACGTTCGTCCTACAAAGCACCACCCACAAGGAGAGAAACACAAACAAATAGACTCGTTTTTTGCCCGTATCGAAACTGCTTTACGCTGTATGGACCTAAAAACTCGATTTGCCTGCACAAGACTATGGGGTGAACCGTCTGGGCTGACAGCTGTGCGGCAGGCAGCGGTAAAGGTTCAGCGCTGCCGTTGATCGCCTGCTGCGGATGCCGGCCACAGTGCAACGGCGAACGTGCTGGACCCAATCAGGATCTTTATTCATAATTCGGGAATCCGATGAGCTATGGTGGCCTTCTTCATGGAGTCATCTACAGGTCGCCTTCAGCTCACGCGGCGCAGCAGTTGAAACACTGGGGGGGGGGGGGGGGGGGTAAGTTGGTCAAATCCACCCCCCACTGCCTCTGTGTACCACTCAGCAGCACACATGTGGTACTAGAGGCCGACCGAAACTGAATTTCTGGTTTCGGCCGAAACCGAAAGTTAAAAATTGACTTTCGGCCGAAACCGAAACTATGCCCCAAGAGGCCATTTGCCAACTGTCGGCGCCGAAACAGAAACCGAATTTCGGTCGGCCTCGATTTGGCACATCACAAGAGTCAAGTTCACTGGCAGGTGGAAATGTACGACGGTGGGGGGGGGGGGGGGGGTAAGCTGCGGGCACTCCCGCCTTTCTCTCAAGATGTCTGGCCAGCGTGGAAGAGTAGACCAAAGTTACATTTGTAGAGGTGGCTCGCCAGAGGGGTCTGGTGGTAATTCCCTTCTGCCAGCATGGGCGTGAGCAAGCAATTTCACGGCTGTGCCTTTGCCATTACTGTCACGCACGTTCGTGCGCGTGACCACATTCTTAGACGAGGATTTATACCAAGAATGAAAACTAATTTCTGTAGAACTGATTTGTGTTTTAAGTTTGTTGTCCTTCTCCCGCACACTCCGATTGGCGCGGTTGGCTACGTGCGGCGAGCGAAAGAAGTTCAAGGTGCAGGACAGTGCACTGTGAAGATGCAACGTTGGAGATTGAAAAGTCTCACCTGTGGGACGTTTAGGGGTCTTTGGGTTCAGCCCTTCATTGCAATAATCTCTATTAAAGCAGCACAGGAACGATCCACTCTGCCAGAACAAAAAAAAATCACTGTCAATCAGAAAAAAATACAAAAATATTCACTGTCAATCAGAAAAACAAAACATATTCACTGTCAGTCAGAAAAACTAAAAATATTCACTGTCAATCAGAAAAAAACTACAAATATTCCCTGTCAATCAGAACGAAAAATCACTGTCAATCAGAATAAAAAATATTTTGTGTCAGTCAGAAAAACAAAAAATATTCACTCTCAATCAGAAAAACTAAAAATATTCACTCTCAATCAGAAAAACTAAAAATATTCACTCTCAATCAGAAAAACTAAAAATATTCACTCTCAATCAGAAAAACTAAAAATATTCACTCTCAATCATAAAAACAAAAATATTCACTCTCAATCAGAAAAACTAAAAAAAATCACTCTCAATCAGAAAAACACAAAAATATTCACTCTCATTCAGAAAAACTAAAAATATTCACTCTCAATCAGAAAAACTAAAAATATTCACTCTCAATCATAAAAACAAAAATATTCACTCTCAATCAGAAAAACTAAAAATATTCACTCTCAATCAGAAAAACTAAAAATATTCACTCTCAATCATAAAAACTAAAAATATTCACTCTCAATCAGAAAAACTAAAAATATTCACTCTCAATCAGAAAAACACAAAAATATTCACTGCCAGTCAGAAAAACACAAATATTCACTGTCAATCAGAAAAACTAAAACATTCACTGTCAATCAGAAAAAAAACACGGACAAATGTCGACACCGCCCCTTACTGACAGGGCTAATGCCCATTTCGAAATCCGCATCTGTGTTTATGCCGCAGCAGGAGGAATCCGATGAGCTGTGAAGCTCTTTCCTCACGGATGTCCACTAGGGGCACGGGTCCAGAACGCCACTTGGCATGCTGAGTTCACTCCTCGTGCCGCCAAGTTGCAGCTGCCAACGGGGGTGTCCCTAGGCTCGATAGCAGCCAGGGCGGTTGGGATGCGATGCAAAGCTTCTTCGCATTGCAGAGGAACTTCATTAATGAAGCACCTTATATAGGCAAGTCGTCGTCCTCTTTGATTATAATCAGTAATCGCTGATAAGCGGTAGTTGGCACAGAGCCCCGAGACAAATGCTCCCTACATCCACACACACGCACGAGCGACAACATCGTTTGCCTGCTGTGAATCACGCGTGGAAAGAAGAGCGTTGCTACGAGTTCTAGTTGTACGTTTGCCGTGCGTGCTCAAGTTCACGGCCTGTCAATGTGTCCTATTGTGCGGCACGTGACCTGCCAATTGGCAAATCATTTGCACGAATTTCCATTTTCGTGGATTTGACCCGATCCAAGTGGCTAAAGACGTCGTCTTCCTGGAACAGTGATGGCACACGCGCACGAAAGAAGTCAAACGCTGCGCGTGTACAAGTACGTTGTGGTGTCGAACTGCATCAGCACCACGCGTACGTAGCTCGCCGTGCGAATCGGAGGTTGCGTGGGGGAAGGACAACGGCACTCCTCCTGCAGAAGGTCCATTGTCCAGAACGTCGCCTATTACACCGTGTATCAATGTGTAATCCCCTCTTGTTGTCGTTGAGTCGTGTGTTGAAGTCGTTGGAGGCGTCCTTACCCAACAGCGAATCTCGTTGTCCATTGTGCATCCGAACTCTGTGTCCAACTTGTCATCGGTCCATTTCTTGAACGCGTAGCAGCTGTTGTTGGTGCTGCGATCGCGATGGGAACAAAGGGAGTGAGTGGGTGGGCGGTGGGGAGGCATGACGTCCAAAGGTTAAGGCGCAGCCCTGCAACTGCTCGCGAACACCACTGCGGCTTCAAGGGCCGCCTCCACTCGACGCAGCTCTCACGAGGGTCCTGCCAAGTTGATTTCGCGTTGTGTCATCCCAGTGGAGTCAATTTGCAATGTCATCTCTCAGCATTGGTATGTTTGGCCAATACCAATTACATCGTATGTGTGTATATATTTCTACATTTGTATGTAAGCTATGCCATGAAATTGTAGAACCCCAGAGGAGACCCACACATAACAGGGGGGAGAACCGACAAAGTTCACACGGAAATGCGCCCCGGTTGGGATTCGAACCCTCTCGCCCAGACACACCGAGCCAAAAGCACAGCGAGCGAAGCCGTCCGTTCTGATTCCACTCCTGCTCACCCCCAACAGCAGCAGCAGCAGCAGCAGGAACCGATCGTGTTATTATTGAGCCAAATATAAATCGAGTTTCTCTCGTAACCAGCGGTGCAACGGCGCTCCAATTGATCCACAAATTCTCAAGTTCACCACCGTACGCCGATTCACAAAAACGCGTGCAAATTCACACGCGCTCGAGAGGAGCCCCCGGACCCGAGCGCACCGTCACGTGATGTGCCGACACGTGTCCTACCGGCACGTGATGTACCGACACGTGTCGTACCGGCACGTGTTCTACCGGCACGTGTTCTACAGGCACGTGCTGTATCGGCACGTGATGTATCGGCACGTGACGCACCGTCACGTGATGTACCGACACGTGATGTACCGACACGTGCTGTACCGGCACGTGTTCTACAAGCACGTGATGTACCGGCATGTGTTCTACAGGCACGTGACATACCGGCACGTGATGTACCGGCACGTGTTCTACAGGCACGTGTTGTACTGTCACGGGATGTACAGGCACCTGTCGTACCGGCACGTGATGTACCGTCACGTGTCGTACCGGCACGCGTTGTTGACGCAGCCGCCGACGGTGCAGTTGCACGTCCGTTCGACTTGTCTGAGGCCGCCGACGAGGGACAAAGTCAGCTGGATGACGAAGAGACTCAAGGATCTCCCGCCGCACTGGTGGAGATAAAGCCAGAGGGGGGGCGGTAGTGGGGGGGTGTGGGGGGGGGGTAGTGGGGGGGTGTGGGGGGGTAGTGGGTGGGTAGTGGGTGGGGGTGTGGGGGGGTGTGGGGGGGTAGTGGGGGGTAGTGAGTAGTGGGTGGGTAGTGGGTGGGGTGGGGGATGAGAGAGGACGCTCGTGATGGTGGTGTTCGAGATGTGGGTGAGTCGTGATCTACGAGAACAAGTTGAAATCAAACCGGTGGCCACATCGGCGACCCACGCCTTGTTTGTCGGTCCGCTCGTCTCAGGAGGCCACCATCAAACTACCGGGCATCAGTGAACAAGAGACTCATAGCTCACCGCAGTCCTGCTGCGTCAATATTCTGATTGGGACATCTGAGCCAATGTGACCGACTGGTGCCACGGGCAGCAGCGATGCAGAGATGGACAACTGCAGTCCGGTTTGCTCAGATATAAGTCGACGTGTGACACAAGACGAGGGCAGGAGAGGGACTGCTGACCTCGACTTTGCTGCACAATGCACAAAGGCCGCGTGTTTTTCTTTATTTTAAACGTTTTGTGGGGTTTTCCCAGCCTGATGATGGGGTTGTTTTTAGTGCTCTCTCTCTCACCTTTTACAGATTATATTGAAACCTGTTGGTGTAGCTGCGTGGTGAAGGGCACGAGGAATGAGGTTTTGCAGCCATCCATTTGGAATAATCTGTCGAGGGGAGCTTGGGCATGAATCCACGTGCGTGCTGAGAGTGGAGGATGGCGACATTAGAGGTCCCATGATTCTCTGTTCTTATGCAAAGGGACTTTGTGGCCAACCCTGTACGCACGCATGAAGTTTGACTTTTTTCGCACCGTACGTAGCCCAACCGTGCTAATCGGAGGTGTACAGGGGCGGCGTGGGGGGCATGCTGAGAATGAGGCCTTGGGACAGACAGAAGGGACCCATTTACGCGCAGAGAAAATCCTACGTGGACATTGATTTGGACGTTAAATTGTCGGGGGTCAAGGGAGGTGATCGGGCCGGGTCAGGGCACGTGACGAGAGGCGAAGATCGTCGAGACCAACGCCGGAGTGGCAGCACAACGAGGGAGAGGGAAACGCCCCGAGTGAACGTCCACGGTGGAGATGGAGCGATGGAATCGGCTAATACGCAGGGGGCTATACCAGGGGTCGACAACCCGCGGCTCTTTCAGGCCCGCCACCGTCTCACATCGCTGCTCGTGAAATATAGATTTTTATTTTCGTACCGAATTCGCAAAGAATGACTATGAGACACGGGCGATGGCTTGGGGAGGTGTCCAACCTGCAGTGGATAGATCATGGCTGATGACGGTGATGAGCACACGAACACGCGATCAGAAGAAGACAAAGGCGGTCAGGTCAGACACGAAGACCGTCGCAGCTCGTGAGAAACTCACCGCGGTAGCGCGGGCAGCGGCGACCTTCGCCCTGTGAATGGCGCCGCCAGGAGAAGCGGTCATCGCCACGACGCTCGCTGCTCCAGTCTCGACTGCGGTGCCGCTCCCCACCTTGCTCGCGTTACGCGCGCACGTGTGTTGAACTTCTATCGCACCGTATGTGGGCCAACCGCGGCTCAGCGGAGGAGCTCGGGGGGTGGAAAGACGACGGCTGCGACGCTGAAGAAGCCGAACCGTGCGGTTGTGTGTCTGAGCACGAAGTGGCCTTGAATTGCTGCTGCTTGTGCTGCAGGTGGTGGTGGTGGTGGTGGTGTGGGCGTTGAGACAGATAAGGTTGCAAGGGAAGGGGAGGCAGTGTTGTGCATTCTTGAGCGGGCAACACGGGGTCCGGGCAACATTTTTGTTCGGAGTAAGTTGGAGGAGTAAGTTGTCAGGAACTCCGGGATGCTGCGGCCTCTACGCTTAGACACTTATTATTATAGAGATCAGCGTCCACGTAATTCATCATTCGTAGCCTTATGTCAATCCGCTGCTGGATGGAGGGATCCCTTTTATAATAATTATAACAACGCCAGCGCACCGAGCCTGGCACTGCCCCCAGAGTTGCATCAACAACATCATCAACAACAACAATAACGATGTCACGTATTTATCTCAAATCATTGTCAGCACGGTCCTGCATGGGGGTTATTTGGCCAAATCCCACGACCGATGTTTTGTTCCAAACCCTCTCAGACAGGTTGGGGGGGGGGGCAGTAGAGCGATAGTCGTGTGGGAAGCCACCGTGACGATGATTCGCACCGCGCGGGGGAGTGAACTTACAGCGAGTTGGGGGGGTGCAGGGCCCAGCCCAACACCACACACGTGAACACACACGTGAACACACGTGAACACACACGTGAACACACACACACGTGAACACACATGAACACACACGTGAACACACGTGAACACACACGTGAACACACACACGTGAACACACACGTGAACACACACACGTGAACACACACGTGAACACACACGTGAACACACACATGAACACACACGTGAACACACATGAATACACACGTGAACACACGTGAATACACACGTGAACACACATGAACACACACGTGAACACACACGTGAACACACGTGAATACACACACGTGAACACGCACACGTGAACACACACACATGAACACATACGTGAACACACACGTGAACACACACACGCGAACACACACGTGAACACACATTAACACACACGTGAACACACACGTGAACACACGTGAACACACGACCGCCTCGGCTGTGGCGTTGTGCGCGAGACGAACGTCACGACGTCTCGGAGCGGTGGCGCAGCGGTTAGCGCTACGCTGCGCTACGAACCCGGCCACACGAGTTCGATTCCCGCTCACAGCCAACACCGGTGACGGTTATCTGAACCGGTCCAGTGCCTCCCTTAGGTCGACTCAGCCTCAAATGAGTACCTAGTGCGGTGTGTAAAAAAACATCGTCACTGGGGAGACAAAGGCGGTCGGGCGTGGGGCTGGCCAACCACCCACTCGTGTACCGTGCCGGACTTCATAGGTGCTCGCTAACAGCACTTGCCCCTACAGTCTGTTAAGTCTATATGGGGGATCTTTATCTTTGTATGTGCGTGTGTGTGCGTGCATGTGTGAGTGCATGTGCGTGTGTGTGAGTGTGTGTATGTGCGTGTGTGTATGGTACAAGTTGGTACAGTAGGGGGCACAGGTGGTGCATCAGCCAGTCATCTCGGTCATCTCGGTCAGTCGACCCGTGGCACCTGCTGGGTCTGCCCCGTGACCTCCTGCCAGCGGGTGTTCGACACTTCACGTGGCCTCAAGGTGCACATGGCCTGGCACAAGCGTCGTGGTGACGTCACCGCCACTTAGTGGCGAATGGCGGTTGTTGTTGTTGTTGTGTGTATGTGCGTGTGTGTATGTGCGTGTGTGTATGTGCGTGTGTGTATGTGCGTGAGACGCATTCGGCGTTGGTGAGGACCCACCACGTGAAACAAGAACTCAACTCGCGTGTGTCCGGGTCCTACGGTTGGTCCCTCCACATTTAGAATCAACATCACGCGTTTAGAGTATTTGGCTGCTAAGCCACTTTGTTGGGCCATCATCTGTGATGTCTAGGTAGCTTCTGAAAAATAAGAGCTACATAGCTCAGTGGGCCTCACCTGGTCAAATGAAGACGAAAAAAAACTTGTTCAATCGTTCATTGAATGCGTGAGATACGAAACAATGGATTCTGTCGTTTGCCACAATTATACCCCAACTGTGTTCTCGGTGGGTGCCGTGAGATAATGTCCGAGACGGCTCTTGTCGTCCACACCCTGGGCGGCAGCGTGCCCCCACGCACTCTGAATACAGAGCATCGCCTGCGTTGTGTGTGCACGGTGAACTTCTTTTGCGCCGTACGTAGCCAACCGTGTTCATCGAAAACCCACATTCTCAATTCTCAGAGCTAAAACTTTGGGAAAGTAAGCTCAACAATTTTTAATACTACATGGGGTTATATGGTTGAATGACGCTGTCTTTTCGACAGACCTGTTCTTCACCTGAGGACGGCTGCTTGCGTTGTGGCCGAAACGTCGTGATAATTATATTTTATTATGTTTTATTTTTTTTGTTTTATTATTTCCGTTCTACGTGACTTTACCGAAAGAACCAAGAAGATGAATCCCTGCAGTCACGAAAGATTTAAATCGAAAAATAGAACTCGAACCCATTCATCAACAACACCGGTGCCTTACAATAAATGCTGGCAGGTGCATTCTTGTTTTAATTCCCCTCCTTAATCCTACTAAAGTTAAATTCGCTCAAACGTTGTTTTGGTCAAAAGGTGTTTTCGCGTTGCTGCAATTTCCCATTGGGTGGCTCCCTTCACTCCCCCTCTTTAGATCACCACGAGACCAACACGCAGCGCTGCCTGGCGCCTGAACCCAACACACTCCCTGGCGCATCTTGCTACTTCACTGCATTTGCACCTCGTTTTCTTGTTTTGTCTCGATCGTGTTTCGTTTGACGACAGTTCGGTGAATGCCTCGTTCGTTGTCCGACGTTCCTGAAGGACCCTGAACTCATTCTCCTTGAAGTTCCTGAAGGACCCTGAACTCATTCTCCTCGTTCCTGAAGGACTCTGAACTCATTCTCCTTGAAGTTCCTGAAGGACCCTGCACTCATTCTCCTCGTTCCTGAAGGACTCTGAACTCATTCTCCTCGTTCCTGAAGAACCCTGAACTCATTCTCTGCGATGTTCCTGAAGGACCCTGAACTCATTCCCCTCGACGTTCCTGAAGGACCTTGAACTCATTCTCTGCCATGTCGAGGTTTTTGTTTTGAGCTTTCGTTGTTGCCGTGTCGCTTCACATCGGGACCACTCCGTGTGTAACAAATGGAATCGACTGAAACTCGAAGGCAGTGTCATTGACGAATGTTTTCAGCTTTGCCTTCGGTATGAATCCACAGCAACTTTGCTTCGGGGCTCATACTTGCTTTACACGATCATCCATTGCCTAACACCCTACACACGTAATCCAGACACACACGTCACATTATAAATGTCTTTATTTTTACAGTAAAATGTTTATTACATGCATCTTCCAGTCACCAACACTTGGGAGGCATGTTTGTCTGCACCGCCTTACATGAGAAGACGGCAGCAGCAGCAGCAGCAGCAGGCGAACATTCTGGTGAGTGGCCGTCCTCTTAAGAGCAAAGACAACGACGACGACGAAGAGAGATTGACGATTTGACCACCCTGACGATCCTTTCACTTGAAACCACCGGAGAGAAGCAACGGAAGGTTGGTGCATGAACACACACGTGAACACACGCGAACACACGCGAACACACGCATGAACACCCGTGAACACATGCACACACGTGAACACACACGTGGACACATGAACACGCGAACACACGTGTGGGCACACACATGAACACACACACGAACACACATGAACACACGAACACGTGTACATACACGTAAACACACACGTGAACACACGCGTGAACACACGTTTCCATTGGGCAGATGTTGAGCGGTGAACGCAGCCTTCAAGATGAAGCTGCCAAACGCCACCGGGTTTGGCCCAGACGGGAGTCCTCGCGCTTGAAGAAAGTTCGCTGGTCGCGGTGGCCTGAAGATCTTGAATTATTTTTTAATAAATCAGGATTCCGTCCCCACATTATTATTATGATGTTTTTACCCGTAGGCTTTCACAACCAAAATTATGATTCACTGCTGGTTTCTTTAGGGTAAGATCTCGTGGCCAATCCGAATCAAGTTGATCCTGGCGGGCGAAACTTGGCAATTGATTTGGTTTGTCAGCAACACCGGAGGAATGTTGAAAGGGCAAGCAGATCGTTGTTGTTTGTTTACAATTTGTGTCCGACATTGTAGTGGAGATTACAACCAGCATCATCAGGCGATTAACAACATCTGAGCAAGCAGTTTCACGTGCAAGGCTGCTGCTGCTGCTGCGTGGACGGTGCCAGTTACGGAGTGGACGCGGTTGTGCGAAAGTGGGCGGGGGCTAATAAAAATAAAACATAATAAAATAATTCTCACGACGTTTCGGCCACAACGCAAGCAGCCGTCCTCAGGTCTGTCGGGAAGACAGCGTCTGAATGAAACACCCCAGGCTTGGAGCGTATATTTAAGCTAGGTTGGATTATATGCTAAATTCCTCTTGATATGCAAATTATTTTGTCAAGGCGCTCTTCCTCCTCTAACCCAGCTTAAATATACGCTCCAAGCCTGGGGTCTTTCATTCAGACTCTGTCTTCCCGACAGACCTGTTCTTCACTTGAGGACGGCTGCTTGCGCTGTGGCCGAAACGTCGTGAGAATTATTTTATTATGTTTTATTTTTATTATTTTATTATTTCCCTTCTACGTGACTTTACCGAAAGAACCAAGAAGATGAACCACCACAACATCAACAACAACAGCTGCAAGCTGAAGGAGTCAATCCGCCGACGACGACATCAACAACAACCACATCAACAACAACAACAGCCACAAGCTGCAGGAGTCAATCCGCCGACGACGACATCAACAACAACCACATCAACCACAACAACAACAGCCACAAGCTGAAGGACTCAGTCCGCCGACGCTTTGCGCTGCTCGGCCAGCCTGGACTCGAGGCGGAGCAGCTGGCGCAGGAATCCGTCGTTGGGGCCGATGGCGCGTCGGGAGCGCACCTGGCGCAGCGCCGACTGCACGTCGCGTCCTCGTCGCAGCATGAGGAAGGCGACGACGAGGCTGGGAGAGCGGCTGTAGCCCTCGCGGCAGTGAACGAGCACGCGGCCTGCGGGGAACAAGCGGCAGAGGTCGCAATCGGGTGCCCCCCGATACCCGTATCCTACCCGATACCCGGCCTACCCGTACCCGGGTACAGGTCGGCCGTGAGTCACTGGCGAGTCATCGTTTGTCACTCATTTCGCAACGTCTTGTCTCTTCTCACAATTCAAGTTCCTAGAATCAACCCACCCGCGCCTGCAACATGGCTTCATTGCAGAGGTCGCAATCGGGTACCCGTCCCCGTACCCTACCCGATACCCGGCCGGGTACGGGTAGCCGGGTATCGGGTAGGGTACGGGTACCCGATTGTGACCCTGGTACGGCCGGGTACGGGTGGCTTGAGACTTGAGACTTGATTCAACAGAATTCCATCAAATTGTTGGCACGTACGAATGATAAAATGAGGGTTTCTTCCACCAAATTTGTTTTGTACACGCAGGCTTTCACAATCAATATTACGATGCGCAATCAATATTATGATTCACTATTAAGGGGCCGTCCATAAGTGACGTCACGCACCTAGAGGGGGGGCGGGGTCAGACATTTGTGACGATGTGTGACGAGGGGGGGGGGGGTGAGAAATGTGACGTCACATCAAAATGCGCAACTTTAAATAAATATAGACAACACGTTCTACTTAATTAAATAGACTTGTTAATAAATGTTTTCTCATACAACATCAGAGTGCAACGCCACATTAAATACATATTACAATGACAAAAGTTTAAAGCGATTTGAAGCATGATTTATTTTCAAAATGGAAATATGGTTTTGGGGGGGGGGCAGAGCTTTGTGACGTCATATTTGAGGGGGGGGGTCTGACTTTTTGTGACGCCGTGTGACGAGGGGGGGGGGTAAAAAATCGTCCAAAATCGCGTGACGTCATTTATGGACGGCCCCTAACGTATTGCGGGTACGATGTTGTTGCGTATAACGTCAATCTTGAACTCTGAATTGTTGGCGTGAAAGAAGCCATCACCGCGGTCACTCGCCGCAATGTTGCAAACAAAAACACCGATGCCCTCGGTTTTGACGACTTCTGACACCGCCGCCGCTACGGGAGATCCAATTGCACCGTCGCTGTCGAGGCCCCATCAGCCGCTGCCCTCTCGCTCGCCCCGACACGGGCAGCGTGCACGGACGGTCGATCGAGACCCGGCACGGTGCCGAGTCATCGGGGGGTGCGAGCGATGCGGGCGCACGGAGGGCGCCGCGCCACCACGGACCCGGTCGGCAGAGTTCGATTCCCGCTCGCGGTCAACATCGGTGACGAATTTCTGAACCGGTTCTGGGCCTCCCCTAGGTCGACTCGGCCTTAAACGCAAGACCTGGTGCGGTGTGCAAGCGTCGCCACTGGAGAGACAAAGGCGGCCGAGCGCGGTGCTGGCCACCCCACCCGGCCGCTCGGGTGCCACGCCGGCCTTCGTAGGTTGCTACTCGCTAAGGGGCCGTCCATAAATGACGTCACGAGATTTTGGACGATTTTTGACCCCCCCCCCCCTCGTCACACGGCGTCACAAAAAGTCAGACCCACCCCTCAAATATGACGTCACAAAGCTCTGCCCCCCCCCCAAGCATATTTCCATTTTGAAGATAAAACATGCTTCAAATCTTTTAAACTATTGTCATTGTAGTGCGTATTTAATGTGGCTCTGCACTCTGATGTTGTAGGAGTGTTGTTATAACAATTATATATTTATTTAAAGTTGCGCATTTTTTATGTGACGTCACATTTCTCACCCCCCCCCCCCCCTCGTCACACATCGTCACAAACGTCAGACCCCCCACTCACCCAGCTGCGCGACGTCATTTATGGACGGCCCCCTAAACAGCTCTTGCCCCAACAGCCTGCGTGAGGCTATAACGGGGGTAGGGGATCTTTATCTGTGGGCTGGTGACACGGAGCTGTGGGCACCTTTGGGGTGCGAGAGCGCCTTCTCGATGAAACTCGGCCGCTTCCTCGAAGAACTTGGCCAGGTCGTACGAGTCGAGGTCGCAGGCGGGGACGCCGTGGTACGCGATGCCGCTCCCCTCGTAGAACTCGGCTCCCGTCTCCACGTGCATCAGCGTCGTGCCGTGGGCCGCGTTCAGCACGTGCGTCACGCCCAGTCGCTGGAGGTTCCTGACGCTCCGTGCGATCTCACTGGGGCGCACCGCGCACACGCACGGAGATGCCCGGTCACAGCGGGGCCCACCGCGTGGTCCTCTAAACGCAGTGGGTGCTTCGTTTCAAGGCCCCCCCCTCCTCCCGCGGGGGTCAGTGGCGGCCGCTGGTGGCCTTTAGTGCGGCCCCTGACGTGCCCCCCGCCCCACTGACAATAGACGAAGATAGATAGCTTCGTGCTGTGGATTTCACAGCTTAATTTTGAAGCTTTCGTGACTGCAGGAATTATTCTTTGGTTCTTTCGGTAAAGTCACGTATAAAGATAAAATAATAAATTAAATAGTAGCATACGACGTTTCGATTGCAACACAAGCAATCGTCATCAGGTATAAATGAAATAGCAACAAAAAGTCTAACCAGAAAACTAAGATACATAGAGAGAGTAACACAGGTACCTGTGTTACTCTCTCTATGTATCTGTGTTACTCTCTCTATGTATCTTGGTGATATCTGTCTGCTTATATGTCTGTCTATAGTTTTCTGGTTAGATTTTCTGTTGCTATTTCATTTATACCTGATGATGATTGCTTGTGTTGCAGTCGAAACGTCGTGAGAATTTTTATTGTTTTATATTTGTATCATTTTATTATTTCCCTTTTACGTGACTTTACCGAAAGAAGCAAGAATATGAATCCCTGCAGTCACGAAAGAAGCTTTAAATCAGAATAGGCGAAGAGTGAAATTAATGATCGGAGGCGGCGGGGAGGAAAATAATCGTCGGTAAAATGTCGAAGAAAACTAAAAACCCGCACCCGTTTGCGTAAATTCCGTGCGAAGCAGTTTGACACGTGGGGCTCCACACTTCGATATGTTCAGGAAACCCGACGACCAGCGTGATGCGTGTTTGACATGGATGTACAATGATGTCGTGGATGCAAACAATGCAAAATGAGAGAACGCGTGACAAGCGGTGATTATCGTGCCATTCTTCATCGTCTCCCCCCCCACCCCTGTTTTTATAAATATCGCTCTGCCGATGCATCAGCGTTGACAATTGAGAGCTGGCGCCGCGTGTTTCTAAGTGACGGGGAGCGTCGCTGCAGCTCAGGCATCTGCTGCATTCGATATATCAGCGGAGCGGCGACTTGTCCTCAAGTCTCCGCGCTATCTTTAGATCGACAACTTGACTGGATTGGATCAACACGCGGCGCTTTCAGACCGCACACATCCACAGCAAAGTCCCTCTTTCTCTCTCGGCTCAAATAAGACGTTGAAGCAGCATTTCAGGCGATGGCTTTTCCACGATGTGTAGCTCGTAAGAAGAACCATTGGCCAAAATATCACCGATTTTCTATTTTTCTTTTAAAGGCCACAGTTTTATTGCCGAATGTGTTGAGTTTATTTATTTATTTGTTATTTGTGCACCACTGCCAACTCTAAACTATTTTTTTATTTTACCAGGTAAGGCCCACTGAGCTATGTAGCTCTTTTTCAGAAGCGACCTGGCCACATATGATAGCTCAATGAAGTGGTGTATCATCATTTGGATATTTATAGCAGCCAAATACTCTAAACGCGTGACGTTGATACTAAATGTGGAATGAAAACCCGGAGGACCCGGAGAAAAATCCACGCGACCACGGGGAGAGAGACACACAAACTCTAAATATACAGCAGGCGTCAGGGCTGGGATCAAACTCACGACCTCCTGTATACCTGGCGAGGGAGTCAACATCTCATAGCCACCGTGATGGTGATGAGAGAGACACGCAAACTCCAAATATACAGCAGGCGTCAGGGCCGGGATCAAACTCACGACCTCCTGTATACCTGGCGAGGGAGTCAACATCTCATAGCCACCGTGATGGTGATGAGAGAGACACGCAAACTCCAAATATACAGCAGGTGTCAGGGCCGGGATCAAACTCACGACCTCCTGTATACCAGGCGAGGTAGTTACTATCTCATAGCCACCACGAGTGCCTTCAGCAGCAGCAGCATCACCAAATAATTTGTTGAGTTTTGGCGGCGCTCAATCCCAGCAGTGGAAATGTCATATTGCTACGGTTGGGACCATTCATTTATCACCGCTGGCTTCCCACAAAGTGGCATTGGCTGTGTCGGGTGGTGGTGGGTTTCACGACACATATATTTACGCAATCTAACCCAAACAAAATCTGTATTATGAAAGTGGCATTTATAAGTATCAACTCCAGAGGGATGCAAGCCGAGCCAACTCCCGAAAGGGATTTGAACGCGAAACCTGACGATTGTTATTCTAGATTTGAAGTTTTCGTGACTGCAAGGAATCATACTCTTAGGTTTTTTTCGGTAAAGTCACGTAGGTAAAAATAAATAATAATGACGATTGTGAGTCAGCAACTCTCGCACCACCTGGCTGGGTCAATTTAAAAGACCAATATAGTTTTGTCAATCCACTGCTCGATGAAGGCCTGCCCCAAGCCCTGTCACTCATGGGAGTTGTTTTGACCATACTTCGCCACGCTGGTCAGCGCGGAGTGGGCTACGCATTCATCGCCGAATATTTTCTGTGTCGCCTGCAGGCAGGAGTCAGAACGCGGCTCGCGAGAGATACGCCGGACGACATGAAGCATCGATGCTGAGCGATCTCTGTCTTGGGTTCATTAAAAAAAATACTCGCAATGAAATGTCCTCGTTGCTTAGAATACATCACTGTGGTTGGAATATTTTTTTCGATAAACCACTTTAGTTTGAACTTCTTTCGCCCCGTAGTTTCAGCAACATATTTTAGAGGGATTACACTGCTTATAAACGTTATACCCCGCAGGACGAATAGTGAAAAACGATAGTTCTAAAATACTTAATGCACAATTGTATTTAATTAGACCGACGGAACTGTGCTTGATGGGGCCGATTCTGTTCATTTACTGCTCCCAATGTGGAAAATTATCTCTTGCGTAGCACTTACATCGCTCTCTTCCCCTTCTCACGACCTTGCTCACAATCTGCTGCAGTTCAGTTTATTTTGAGTCTTATGGAGCAGCGGTGGTGGTGCAGCCGTTTGGCACACTGCTCTCTGATCCAGCCGACCTGAGTTCAATTCCCGGCAACGGCTAACGTTAAGTGGCGAATGATGCATCAATCGGTTTTGGACACCTCCCCACATTCGCCAACCGGTATGAAGCATTGTGGTGAAGTGTGTAGTACGTTAGACTTCTTTTGCACCGTACGTAGCCAACCGTGCTAATCGGAGGCGCGAGGGGGAATGACAACAAACTACACACACACAGAGCAGTTCTAAAGAAATTCGTTTTCCTTCTAGATGATGTAAAAGTGCACAGCTCCGGTGGCTTCCTGATATCGGAAGGAAGAGCGTTCCAGACGGCCGCAGAAGCGCATCTGAAAGCGCCGCGCGATGATGATGCGGTGACCACCGCCTTAGTTCGATGGCAGCAGCCAAAAGCTGCTGCTGCTGCTGCTACTGCGAGGATGGCTGGAGTTTGCTTGACGGTGATTTATGCCCCTTGACGAGATCAGCGTGGTATTGTGGTTCATTTGCGGCAAGCACTTTGCGTGTAATGAGTGCGACCTTAGAGGTGAAGTATGGTCAAACAATTCCCCCGCCCCCCACCCTAGAATGGCACGGTATGGGAAGACCTTTATTCAGCAATGGAGTGGCAGGAAACGAAATAATAATATCTTCTTGGTTCTTTCGGTAAAGTCACGTAGAAGGGAAATAATAAAAATAAAACATAATAAAATACAATTCTCACGGCGTTTCGGCCACGGACGCTGTCTTTCCGACAGACCTGTTCTTCACCTGAGGACGGCTGCTTGCGTTGTGGCCGAAACGTCGTGAGAATTGTATTTTATTATGTTTTATTTTTAATTATTTTATTATTTCCCTTCTACGTGACTTTACCGAAAGTACCAAGAAGATGAATCCATGCAGTCACGAAAGCTTTAATTCGAGAAATAATAATAATAATCATCATCATCACCATCAAATAGGCCAAATGTAAAAAAACTACTTTATTACGTATATAGGCCTTCTTGCCGTGGCAATTTTCTTGAAATTCTGTTCAATTTCTCCACTGTCATTTCTCATCATCTCGTTTTACTCTAAATTGAACCTTTCCACTTTGCCATCATCTCCACCCATTTGTTTTTGTCCCACCGCTTTCCGCTAATAATGTCACGTCCCTGTGAATAAAAAAAACACCCCAGACCAGACAGCTCGTCACGAGGATGCTGTCCGCCCGCCACGAAGTCGTTGTTGCCTTTTTGGAGATTATATCGACATCAAAACCGCAACGCGTCATTGACAATTCCACTGCTGGATGAAGGCCCTCCCCCACACTTCTGCGTCGTTCATGGGGGGGGGGGCTGTTTCACCATACTTCACCACACTGCTTAGTGCGGGGCCGGCGTGTGCAGGGAGACTCAGGACCTGTTCAGAGATCACGCGCCGCTGATATTTGCCGTGGCTGGGAATCGAACTCGGCGGCTTGACAGCGCCGCAGAGAACACGGTTCCCTGGCGCGTCCTGTCATGTAATCAAAGCCACATTGTGAGCACGCAATCAGCTTTTTGCGATGCGTCCCAGCGTAGCGTGTCTGCATCGGCGTTTGAATTCGCAAGTGCGGAAACCCATGGAACGACTTCCAGGGAGAGTAAATAAATAAATAATGCGCATACTCGCAAATAGTTATTTTAGCGCTGGTTTTTTTTACGCGTTTGAGGTCTTGGGCAAGACCTCAAAATAATTCGACGCCTACGTGCTAAACAGAACGTGGCCAATTCGCCACTAGTACAGCACACCGGTGTGTTGGAGAGCCAAGCCACGACATTTACAATCTGAGTACGACGTTTCGCCAGCGATTACAACTAGCTTCATCAGGCGACAGCCAGATTTGTGCAGAAGTCCACCTGTTTCGTTCCTCATATAGAGGCGTAGACGTGGTGACCACGTAGCTGCGCTCCTGCTCCACGTGGGGGGGGGGGGGGGGGGGGTCAATATGAGCATCATCTGGTTACGATCGTTTACCGTGAGCCTCCTCCCCGCTCGACGGACAGAGATCGTTCACTGGGCGCTCTCTAACCGTGGGTCGCGGTGAAACGCCGCGCGCTGCCGTGCGATGGAGGCCGCGGCGTGCAACGTACGCGTCTCCCACGAGGATGCCGGGGAAGACCTCGTTGCAGTGGTCGCAGGGCAAGCTGTAGAGGCCGTGCTCGTCCATGAGCAGCTCGTTGAGCACATTCACCATGAAGTCGGACATCCTCCTCCCGCGTGCTGAACACAGCTGATCCCCCCCCCTCTCCCTGTGCTACTGCTGCTGATGCTGCTGCTAGTGCTGATGTTAATTCTGATGGTGCTGCTGCTAGTGTTGATGTTAATTCTGATGATGCTGCTGCTAGTGTTGATGTTAATTCTGATGGTGCTGCTGCTAGTGTTGATGTTAATTCTGATGGTGCTGCTGCTAGTGCTGATGTTAATTCTGATGGTGCTGCTGCTAGTGTTGATGTTAATTCTGATGATGCTGCTGCTAGTGTTGATGTTAATTCTGATGGTGCTGCTGCTAGTGTTGATGTTAATTCTGATGGTGCTGCTGCTAGTGCTGATGTTAATTCTGATGGTGCTGCTGCTAGTGTTGATGTTAATTCTGATGGAACTGCTGCTAGTGTCAACTGCAACTGCTGGTGATGATGTTGGTGCTGCTGAAATTATTCGTTCTGCTGGTGCTACTGCTGCACCGACTGGTGATGACACTGCTTCTGCTGCTGCTGCTGCTACAACTGCTGCCTGCTACTGCTGCTCTGAGACCTTGGCCCACGCGTACCGCTCACGGGGCCCTCTGTTCCCCACACCCCACCCCGACCCTCGCCTGTGGCACGCTGCACTCACCGCTGGCGAAGTTCATCATTGGCCGGCAGCCAGAGTGGGATCGGGTTCTTCACAAACTCCCTTCACCCCCCCCCCACCCCCGAGTATTTTCCAGCAGTGGCAGCCCCCCCCCCCCAGCCAGCCAGCTCCGTGTGCCCGCTCCTTGTCCCGCTGCTCACGCCTCGCACGAAGCCAGCGGCGCATTTCAGAAGCACCGAACCCCGCCGACGACAAATCATTACGGGCGCACCGTGATAATTTATATAAACAAACACGTGGAGCGTGTTGTTTCTACTTTCACATAGCGTGGCTACAGTCGGTGTCACACGCATTCATCACTTTTACTGTAAGGCTTTGAAAAGAAACACATAAAGTGAAGACAGAAATAGCTGCTCATGAAAATACGATCCACGAGGGGGGGCGGGGGGAGTCTGGAGGCACGTGATGATGGTGGTGGTGGTGATGGTGGTGGTGATGTTGGTGATGGTGGTGGTGATGGTGGTGGTGATGATGGTGATGGTGGTGATGGTGGTGGTGGTGATGGTGGTGATGGTGGTGGTGATCGTGGTGGTGATGATGGTGTTGGTGATGGTGGTAATGATGGTGATGGTGATGATGGTGGTGGTGATGGTGGTGATGGTGGTGATGGTGGTGATGATGGTGGTGATGATGGTGATGATGGTGATACCTCCCTGGGGTACCACCAGCCTCGTCCCGGCGTTTACCGTGGGGAGCCTGTGGGCTACTCGGCACGAGCGGTGTCGTGGGGACCTGCACTGGTGCCGAGTGGAGAGCCCTGCCCGTGTCATCCCCACCCACCCACCCGCCTGAGCCACAGCTCCAGCTCGCGCTGGCGGTGTCCACAGAGGGCTTCTTTCGATCTCCGTTCCCGGTGACATGCGCTCATCGCGTCTCCTGGGTTTGTGTGTGTTTTTAAGGCGGCGTGCTTTCTCCGATAATTATGGACATCAGCACGGCCTCGTTTGCTTCCTCCTCGAACCTCTCTTCGTTTGTTGTGCCGTCTTTACAATAAATCTGTCGGGATACCTTTTCAGGCTCCCGTTGTGCTCAGATGTCGCGAACGTTTCTTGATTGTTCATAATAAACGTTTTTGGGTTAGATCGCGTTATTTATAAATGTGTCGTAACCTTCCACCACCCGACACGGCCAATCGGCAAAAAAGTGTCACGTTGACAAAAGACAAATAGTTCACTGCTTTAGCCCACCGGTGTGTTGAAGCGTGAAACCACAACATTTACAATTTTTGAGTACGACGTTTCGCTGGTAATTGCAATCAGCATCATCGGGCAATTCGGGAGAATTGTTCTGGCGAAAATTGTAAATGTTGTGGTTTTACGCTTCAACACACCGGTGGGCTAAAGCTAGTGAACTATTTGTCTTTTGTCAACGTGACATTTTTTTGCTGATTGGCCTTGTCGGGTGGTGGAGGGTTACGACACATTTATAAATAACGCGATCTAAACCCAAAAACGTTGATTAAGAATAATATTGGTCGCAAAAGCCTGCCACGTGTTTCTTGATTGATTGGCCGGGTCTCGGTTCCAGAGCAACGAGGTGTGGAAAGCGCCACGGCGTTGTACCAGTCTCACCGTGGTGAATAAGCTCTCATCGTTCATTGCAATGAACGTAAAGAGAATGCAAAAGTCTCGCTGTGCTGCGCAGACAAAAGTCTCTGGACTCGACGAGAGCTCAGCGACCAGTGATGCGTTCCCGTGAATTCATTCGGAATAGCGCTATGTACGGTGCGAAAGAAGTTCAACAAACATACTTCCTGTTTATCCAATTGGAACCTCATTTGCCAGTAAAAAATATATTGTTTTTGTACCCTTTTATCTGGCAACAAAACTGACACCTGCGCCTTTTGGCGTCATGTGGTTCAACACCATGTGAGACAAGGCTCTAAGGAAAGCTGTCTCGGGTATGGACCAATCAACTTTAAGGATAGTGCATATACATGATCAGAGTTATGTTTTTTGTTTGCATTACGACTACAGGTATTGTGGTCTATGCAAACATGACTCCTTGTAAAAAAAAGGTGTCAGTTTTGTTGCCAAATAAAGGGGTAAAAAAACAATTATCATACTTCCTGTTATGTTCACGGGTTTGCAGCTGTCTTAAGACATTGCCTCCAATCTGCCCCACACTAAAAATAAATGTACTATGTACACATGCGGCTGGATTTTGCAACGGCAACAAGAATAGTCATTGACAAACCATTGCCAATCCACTGCTGCTGGATGAAAGCCTCTGCATGCCCTGCCAGTCACGGGGGTTGTTTACCCATACTTCACCACTCTGGTGAGGGTGGGTGTAGTGAATGGGGGGGGGGGGGGAGCTTGAGCTGGTTAGCCACGGCCGGGAATTGAACTCGGGTCTGCTGCATTCACTGATCCACCGCCCGCACCACGAATGAAGTGTTTCAAAATCCATTCAGTTGCAAATAAACCCCGACACGATTGGATTTCAACACAGTGAAAGTAAGTCTGATGTCTCCAAGTATACTTGAAAACAAGTGAGAGTATTGTTTCTATATTTATAAAATCACAAGGTCACGTTGACCCCCTGCTGATAATATGGAAGCACGGACTGGTTTCAATCTCATGGAGGCTGATCGGCAAACCACCCTCGGTTGATCCACAGCCGGGAATTGAACTCGGTGTGCTGGATTCACTGCAGCACTGCTGCACCGCCCACCTTGACTTAATATTTATCATCAAAATCCATCATTTCGCAAATAAAATCACGATATAATTGTATCTTGATTTGATATAATTGGATTTAAACAGTTGCAATACAATATCATGTCTCCGAGTATATTTAAAAAGTAAAAGTGTTTTTGTTACAATTACAAATAAACAACGTCGTGTGTACCCACTGACACGATTGAGGCTGCCATGCCACCCAGAAAGTCAATCCGCAGTGTGGAAGTCGCGACTCGTTTCGATCTTGTTCGGCCTCATCGGAAATCCACACTCGACTCCGGGCCGCTATTCATGCCGGGAGCGTTCTGCAACTGTCAACACTAAGTCCGAATCACGGGGCTCTTGATGTCCCAGTTTAAAAAAGATATAATTAAATGAAGATAATGCTGTTCCAGCGCGGGCCATCAACTAAACACGTAAAGTAAAAGCCTAGGAGCAGGAACATCGGTACCACAGCCGGAGACGAAACGGTGCCGTTCAGTTCTGCTGGACATCTCCGGCAGGCGGGTGACACGACGGGAGAGCGCGTTTCGTCTCGGGCCCATCGCGACTAAAAAACAATTCGCGAGTCGAGGAAGAATCTCTTTGAGAGTTGTATTCAATCAATCTTCAGCACTTCCCGCAAGTAAACCGTGAAGGCTGCGCCTCAGCGCAGAGATTTTTTCCCTCCTCTCTAAAAGCCACCCAAACCACTCTCCTTTCCGAACGCCCGTCTCGATTTCATCATCTCGATTCTGGGACCAACTTTCAATCGCTGCGCCACGGGACATATTCCGCAGCGTTTCCCAGTCGAGTTTCCCTGACAGATCTCTTCCAATTGTTCAGAAAACTGTTTTTTGTACTCGACCTTTCTTTAGCCATGTCTATGCTGAGTTCAGCTCATTGCCATCCCACATTATGCCTTGTGTCATTAGAATATTCCGAGATGGTTCATGCCCCCCCTGTTTTATTTTATCCATTTGTTGGGAAATATCTTCAACTGTCGCTGTGAAGAACGTTTGCAACATACAGGTTGGCACTTCAAAAGAATGTTCACACTTCTGAGGATTTGCAACAAGGCCACAAGAAATATGCCTCCTCTGGGCTCTGGAGACCACCTGGAGAAGATTCCAGGCACGTGTTGACGATGGCGAACACGTGAAGACTGACTTTTTGAAGCTCTTACATTTGATATCATGTTCGTGTATTATCCGTTATTTTTCCATTAACGATCGTCCCATGGAAGTGTTAACATTTTTTTTAAGCACCCTGTATATATTGTGGCGCTCTGCGCAACGTCAACTTTGACTGTTCCACGGCTTGTAAATGATTTATTATTCTAAATGCGTTTCATTGTTACACCTTGGTTTGTGATAGCTTGGATGACTGCATCAATTTCCACTGAGTCACGATTGCAATAGTCGACAAAGCACCAATGGTAATTGAAATTCACGAAGTCTCTTCCAAAATCTGATGAACAGTTCGTGTGGCTGATGGGGAGCGTGCTTGCCACTGCCGTTGGTCGGCGTCTCAGTCGCGTTTGTTATTCCGTTCATAATGACCTTCAGGAACAGTTTATAGATATTATTTTTGTAATAAGGGACTCATGCGTCTGTAGTTGAAGTAATTTTTTAATCCCTTTTTGAACATAATATAAAGAGGCAAACCATTCCACAATAGGTGAGTATTTAATTACTGTGTAAACATTTAGTGGACAAGTCCCACCGCTTTCGTTCCAGCACTTGGCCCCACCTCTGAGTTTAAAAAGTTCCACCATCTGCCCCACGAGCTCTCTACCTTGTTAATTCCTGCAAAGGGCACGGCGTTGACTTCTGCGAGCACGACGTCTGGCGGCGCTCCCCCCGCTCCCCTTTCGTCTCGACGATTTGACTCTTGAGCATTAAAGCCGGGCACAAAGTGGGGAAAGTTGAAATCGCTCTGGGATAGAAGCCCAACAGAATTTCATACAAACGGTGCGGAAAGAAAATGGGATCTACAAACTCGTATTCGAGGTATAACATTCCTGGATGAGGTTACCCAGATGCTCAACAGAAATCTAACTTTATATTTTTCGAGCCATTTATAGAATTAGGATCAATGTTTCCCCCCCCCCCCCCCCGCTTATGAAAAAAAACAACCAGCCTCACCAGCAGAGGGATATTTTTAGCGGAGGTGGACGCTCAACTATGTGTCAACATCTCAACGAAGCATCGATAACCCGTGCGATCGAGCCGACACATGATCACGGTTAAATTTATAACGAATCATCCATCATTCAACTCATCCGCAAATATCTCCGTCGTGTGCACGTCACAGCATAAACCGTAAATCAACTGCAACCTACGAGCAAAATGATTTACCGAACAGGAGAACTTCTGAATGGAGGTTTTAAAAATTAAGTTCACAGTCCACTGCATGGCGGTTGCATCACGCACAGTTGAGAGTGGGTTGAAGGGGGGGGGACAGGTCACTAGCCACTGATGTTAGCCGTGACCCGGAATCAAACTCGGGTCGCCACCATGTTCATATCAGAGTGCGCTAACCATTGCACCACTGCTCCTTCACACGTGCAAATTCATCAATACATATTGCCCCGTGAATCGCATCTATTGTATGTATGTTGAACTTCTTTCGCACCATACATGGCCAACCGTGCTAATCCAATGACACACGAGATGCTACCCGCTGATCCCATCATCCGTGTTCGTGCAATATTTGACTCCTCTTGTTCCATAAAAACGCGAATAGGAATAATTTGCCATCACTTCTTGGTCACTCCTCTTTATCCGTGCCAAGACACGGACACCAGGCCGAATCGTAACGCGGCGAATGATGTCCTTCGATGAGCACGGTTGGCTACGTGCGGTGCGTAACAAGTCCAACATACACGCAGACATGTCGTCGTTATTCCAGGAAAACGACTTCTGTGCCATTTGGGCCGAGTCAAGCCCATGACACGGCACCCCACGCCACAGCAGACACAGCACTTGTAGAAACACTATTCCCCGTGCAATTCAGCGGCCGTCTGGAACGCTCTTCCTAATCGACATTGGTGTAATTACCGAAAAATGACGCCAAGCCAATATGCAGCCTAACGGCTATTTGAAGATAAACGGTCTCCGATTGGTAGGAAGAGGCCTCTACGGTGATTGGTCGGGAGGCAGACTTTAAAAGGGATTGGAGGAATAAGGGTTGAACGAGATCGATCGGGAAAACAGAGAGGATCCGTTAGAGGGGGAAGGACAGGGATTGCCTAAGGGACAAACAAGGACGAGGTTCTCGAAGTGGGGGCTTGAGGAGTCTAAACGGGGAGATCACGGGGAGTGGCGACGTGGGGGGTAAGTTACGAGCTGGAGACACGCACGGAGCCCAGGGACCCGCATTGTGGCCGTGTCCCAATAAAGTGGCTCCTATTACATCGTCGTCAGAGCGGTTTCACATTAGGAAGCCACCGGAGCTATGCACTTTTAAATCCAGCTTGAAAACTCACTTCTTTAAAACTGCTTTGTGTGTCGAGTTTGTCGTCTTTCCCGCCGCACCTCCGATGAGCACGGTTTGGCTACGTACGGTGCGAAAGAAGTTCAACGTACATACGCACAAGCGCGTGTGTGTGCGTGTTGTGTAGCAATTAGCACGCTACGGTACGAACCTGGCGACCCGGGTTCGATTCCCGCTTACGGCAAATACCAGTGACGATTATCTCAACCGGTCCAGGGCCTCCCCTAGGTCGACTCGGCCTCAAATGAGTACCTGGTACGATGTGTAAACATCGCCATTCGGGAGACAAAATCGGCCGGGCGTGGTGCTGGCCACCCACCCCCTCATGTGCCACGCCGGCCTTTATAGGTGCTCGCTAACAGCGCTTGCCCCTACAGTCTGTTAAGCCTCCACGGGGGATCTTTGTCTTTGAAATCCCAGGTGGGAGTCAACTCAGCCTCCCGTCACCCCCAGGAGTCAAAACAATGGAGTTCGACTGCACAGGTGAGGATCAGCGGCACCCCCGGGTAGATTTTGGCCGCGGCTTTGTGACGAGTGTCGTCGCCGAGTAGAGGGCAGCCTCCGGCACCATGGGAGGTCCCCGTCGCAGCACTCCTCCCCGGCTTCTTCCCGTCTGCAGTCAGGTGCTTGGTGGCGTCTTTGAGGAGGTCTTGGGCCGCCGATAGACTTGCTCCGGTCTCCCGTCCTTCATGGCAGCAAACCTCGCCAACGTGAAGAGGTAATCGCTCAACCTGCCGGGGTCATCGTGCGACGAACGGTGAGCGCAGTGCACAGTCTCTCCACGCCACGCCGGTTATCGAGCCATACTTCACCACGCTGGTCCGTGCTGGTGGGCTGGTGAAGGTGGGGAGAATTGGTGGTCACCCATACAAGATAAAGATTCCCGCGTGTAGCCTTAACAAGTGCTGTTAGCGAGGAGCACCTGTGAGCCGGCACGGCACACGAGGGGGTGGCGGGCGAGTGGCCAGCATCACGCCCGACTGCCTTTGTCTCCCGAGTGGCCACGTTGATACATCGCAGTTCAGATAACCAACTCGTATCGCCGGGTTTGTAGCACACCGCGTTAACCGATTACACCACTGTTCCCCACGTATGACAACAGTCGCCACTAAGTGGCAGTGATGTCACCACGGTGCCTGTGCCAGGCCAGGTGCACTTTGAGGCCAGGTGAAGTGTCGAAGGCTCGCCCACAGGAGGTCACGGGACGGACCCTGGTGCCGTGGGTTGACAAAGCACTTATCCAGGCTCACACCTGCTTAGCTTCTGAGATCTTAGATGGGGTGCACTCGGGTGATTTGGACACAGTCATCGGGCAAAAGTGTGTATGTTAAGAGGCATTCGGGCAGGTTGACTGGAAAGCAGACAGGCAGACAGACGTGTAGTTGGTAGCTGTCTAGGACGATGGGTAAGTAGCTACACTTGATAATAATTGTCGATACATTACGACCTCCAAAATTCAACCGAGGACTGGAAACAGATATGACTTAGTGGGACGGAACATACGAAGGAGGTGATAGGGGATCTAATATAGAATAAAATTCGTTCCCAGAATCGTGAAACAAACTCGTCACGTGGTTTATTACCAGAGCTGTTGTAAATACCGTGCCGATATGAGTGTAGAACACAGGGCGGATGGTTTGACCCATAAACCCAGCTCGTGAATGGCACCGAGATGGTACAATCCATGTTGTGCGACCCGCCGTGAAGGAGGCGATAACAGCGTGAGACGAGAAACAAAGCAGTGCGGAGGAGAGACGGCGAGGTATTTGCTCAAAGAAGAAATCCCCTTTTGATGTTTGCGCCTATTGGAGAGGCCCGCGTTGTGCGGAGCAGAAGCCAAGGAGCGGCTGAAGAGCAAGGCGGGGATGAGGTTTGACGAGTCTGCTGAGAGCATCATAATCAGGGCTGCCTGGTGGCGCGAGAGGACTTCAAAGATTGCTTCCCCCTGCTGACGGGGAGAGAGCAGCCTTCAGACTTCCAGCTCCTTTTCGCGATGCGCAGAGAACCATTCCACCATTGCCGATAACACTGGTCAACAAAAAAATAAATTCTGGCCTGGACTTTTGCAGCTGTTTTAGACTAATTTCAGGGTGCTGATTCCAAATCTGATCTCAGATTTGCTCTATCACATCTCATTTTTATGCTATCGGCATACCCCATTTTCATTGATTTTACCCGAAATTAACTCCGTCACTTATGATTGCAAGTTGTTGCGAGTCAGTGACTGCTTTAGTGTTAAAATATGGTGCTGTATTTTTAGGATATTGTGTTTAAAATATCATTTTATGTAGATATCCACATTTATTTAATATTTTTCTTCTGCAGTTTTTATTGAAAATGCAATATTTTATATCTCAAAAACCTGATGTGATAGACAAAAACTGATGCCAGATTTGGAATCAGCACCCCAAAATTACATTAAGACCGTTGGAATACCTTATGCCAGAAAAAGTGTGTTGACCAGTGAATTACGGCTGTCGTAGGCAGCCACGTGCGGGTTGCAGAGATGGAGCGCCGCAAGAGAGTTGACGCTCCGAGGAGATTGTGTCACTGTCCCACCCTTCTGTGTGAGCTTGTGGCAGTGCAGTGTGTGAAAGCGGAGTGTTGGTGTGCTGTCTAGCATAGGTAGGAAGGGATTGTGCTCCACTGTTGTCTCGTGGTGTTCTTCATTCCCGTTGTTCATGCTCTCCAACACACCGGCGTAGTGCTGTACTAGTAACGAATTGGCACGTTCTGTTTACGTGACAAACCTTACTAATTCTTTCAGGTGGTGGCGAGTTTAATGACACATTTATATTTACGCGATCTAACCCAAAAGCTCCTCTATTATGGAGGTAAAAGACTCCTGGCCTTGTACCCACCTTCCTGGACATTCCGCTCTGCTGACTCCCTCATTTTATTCAAATCGCACCTTAAGACTCACTTATCTTTACGGGCGTTTCACTTTTCTTGAATCCTGTGTTTTGGGGGTTGGAGTTTATTGGCGCGAGCCTGCATGTGTGTTTGGCCAGATAGAGGGTGCCAAACGGGAACGACACGGGCTGGAGAAGAGATGGACTGATGCGGTGTGGGAGGATGTGGAGCTGAATGGACTTTCCAAAGACTGGTACCAGCGGTGTCAAAATTGACACCGCTGGTCAGTTGGAGGCAGTCGCCCTCCTTGGAGGGCAGAGGAGCGATGCTCACAACAACGAGCGGAGCGCCGGGCGGCTAAAATGCAGCAACTTGGCATCGTAGGGGGCACAGCTGGTACATCTGCCAGTCATATCAGTCAACCCATGGCACCTGGGTCTGCCCGTGACCTATCAGCGAGCCTTCGACACTTCACGTGGCATAAAATTGCTTCAAAGTGCACCTGGCCTGGCACAAGCGCCGTGTTGACGTCACCGCAGCTTCGTGTCGTAGTTTTTGCGTGTGCTTTGTACGTCCCCTTGTGGTCTCCAGGTGAAAGCGCTTTAGAAGTGTAAATTATTCTCGGCCCGTCACACGCCCCGAGCCGCCAACGATTCCAACCCCATGTGCCACGTGGCGACCGAATGTGCGCGCTTCACCTGTTCAGATATTTCCCAACACTGGCGTCGGCCTCGCCTGCACGCACCAGCACGACAACCCTGCAGCGCATACGCACAAAGACAAAGATCCCCGTACGGAATTTAACAATGTCGGGGCAAGTGTCGTGAGCGAGCACCTATGTGGGTTAACACGGTACACGATGGGGTGGGTGACCAGCACCCACGCCTTTGTCTTCCCTGTGCTGATGTTTTTACACGCCGTACCAGGTACTCGTTTTCAGGCTGAGTCGACCTAGCGGAGGCCCAGGACTGGTTCAGATATTCATGACCGATGGTTGCCGGTGAGTGGGAATCGAACTCGGGATGCCGGGTTCGTAGCATAGTGCGTTAACCACTGCACCACGATTCCACACACGTACGCACACAAATATTAAATTAATACGATTACATAACCTGTCCCCGGTTACACAAGCAGAATATGAAAACACCATTACATCACTAAGATTATACAATCAGAACTGTGCAACAATAAATGAATGCATGAAAACATACAGTTGTTAAGTCAGTACTGCTGCAGGAAGATTAACCAGGTTGCGATTAGCATAAGGCTTTTTACGTAATATTGCAAAATATATGCGGAGGTAAAATCTGCAACTAATAAAGTATTAACATGCACAGACATTTTTGTGCAAGCTGCGGGTCTCCCCACACCACGCAGATTGCGGGGTTTATTTGACCATACTTCACCAATCCTGGTCAGTGCGGGTTAGGTGAAGGTTGCGGTGGCGTAGCGATTAACGCGCTGGGCTACGAACCCGGCGACCCGGGTTTGAGTCCCGCTCACGGTGACGATTATATTATCCGAACCGGTCTTGGGCCTTCCTTAGGTCAACCCGGCCTCAAATCAATACCTGGTGTGGTGCATAAACATCGCCACTCGGGAGACAAAGGCGGCCGGGCGTGGTGTAGGCCTTCCACCCCCTTGTGTGCCGTGCCGGCCTTCTTAGGCGCTACTCGTTAACAACACTTGCCCCTATCGACTAAGGCTACACGGAGGGTCTTTGGTGAACGCGGCAAAGCATAACCGTGTGGGAGCATAGAAATTAAAACATTACAAGACAAAAACACGTCGTGTGAACTTAAAAATCTACGTGACATATGACTTGCTGTATTCTTTGGGTCTTTCGGTAAAGTCACGTAGAAAGGTTCAAAGAAAATAACAAAAAACTACGACGTTTCGATTGCAACACAAGTGGTCGTCTTACGGATGACGATTGAAACGTCGTGGTTTTATGTTATTTTCTTTGAACCTATCTACGTGACTTTACCGAAAGACCCAAAGAATATTAATTCCTGCAGTCATGAAAGCTTTAAGTCAAAATATATATGACTTGCTGTAAATGGGCTCACAAGTGACGTCGTCACATCTACCCCTCTATTTAAGGAACGAAACAGGAGCATTTCTCCACAAATCTGGCTGTCGCCTGATGAAGCTAGTTGTAATTATTTGTGAAACGTCGTACTCAGATTGTAAATGTTATGGCTTGGCTCTCCAACACACACCGGTGTCTGCGTGTCCCTACCGGCGCTCCGCCCGGCGACACGTGCTCCGCGCCACGTGCAGAGCCGCGGCGCAGCGACCTCCGGACTGCAACACAGAAAAGAGCGAGCGGCGATTCCCGTCGTGACGTGAACAGAGCGACGCTGGAGGCATCCATTTCACGCGCCGAGTATCTCGGCGGGACGAACGCTGGATGTGTCACTACTCGCCCCCCCACCCGCCTCCCCACCAATCAGTTCGGATTGCCACCCGCTCCTGGTTTTCCCAGGATCGTTCTCCTCTTGTTGAGCAGGTAGCTAATGTCCTGGGAAAACTTTTGTTACTTCCGGGACTTTCAAAATCCCAGTATGTTGTAAGTTGCGTAGTAGCAACAAGAACAACGGACTGCTCAAGACAATGCACGCACATGAAGTTCTCCCCTCTTCGGCTATTGCGAGATATTCTTCTTATGTTTCTGGTTCATTTTTTTTATACCTCAGGAGGTAGGCGAGTGGTGACTGGTGAGTGTTGAGCATCTGGTGAGAATCTTGAGTCTGGTGAATGGTGGTGGGTGAATGGTGTGTGTCTGGTGGTGGGTGAATGGTGAGTGTCTGGTGAGCATCAGGTAAGTGGTGAGCGTATCAAGTGAGTGGTGAACATGAATGGTCAACGTCCAATTGTTAGGCGAGTGTCTGGCGAGGGTCAAGTGAGTGTCCGCCGATTGCCAGGTGAGCGATGAGGTGAGTGTATCACCGAGTGATGAGCATCAGGTGAGCGATGAGGTGAGTGTGTCACTGAGTGATGAGCATCAGGTGAGCGATGAGTGTCTAGCGGATGGTCAGTGTCCAGTGAGTGTCTGTGCAGCAGGGTGTATCTGCTCTCGCCGGTAATATGAAGTTGGTCAGCGGAGGTAGCTGGGACGTGTAGCCGTCGATCCACCCCTCCAGTTCGGCCACAACGGATTCGTCGAACTTTGTGCGCTCTGCGACACACCGCGAGGGAAACACCCAAACTGCGTTCACTCTCGCGAACATGTCGCACAAGCAAACGCGCGCGTCGCTTCGGGCGAGAAAAGAATTTTCTGCCACCGTTGTTACTCACGTGTGGGTGCCTTCTCGCTTTCTTGCAAAGTCAAAATGTGTTCGGCTTCGTAACGGTGGCCACAGAGATTATCACCACTACCTATTTGAGCAGGAAAGCACTTCCAATTTCACTCGAATATTACATTAAATGGCAAAAGTCTGTCAATCGCTGCACCACAATTCTTGGTACAGACTGGCTTTTACTGGTAGGAACCACCTGGTTCCACCAGCCCGTCCGTCGTGCATCCAAAAATGGGAGGGGTGGGGCTGGGTGGAGAGGGGAGGGTGGGGAGGGGAGGGTGGGGAGAGGCTGGGTGGGGAGGGGAGGGTGAGGAGGGGCTGGGTGGGGCTGGGTGGGGGGTGGGAGGGGTGGGGCTGGGTGGGGAGGGGCTGGTCACCCCGTGGTGCCCTTATTAAACTCAACGTTTAACCTACTCACGCCGGCTTGTGCCCGCCCTCACAGTCGGCCATATATGTGGAATACACCACGCCGCCGTTGACCCTGGCCATTGACCGAGCAACCCAACGTTCCTACCAGCTCCCTCCGCAGGAATGTGTTACGTCATCTGGCAAAAGGAGGCATCGAGGAATCTTGGATTTGTATTCTGTGGCAAAACCTTCGTGTTTAGCTCCGAACAGTTATTACTGCTGCTAAACAGAGCACAGACTCAGCCCAGTGCTCCACCACAGATGGACTGCTGTCACATCTGTGGTGGAGCATCTAGATTCTAGCCCACCGCATCAACGGATATCGTTCAGAGTAAAGCAGCAGCCGGGGTGGCTGATGATCCAGCACTGACTCACTCCAGCCACGAGCTCACTGGCAGTCAGTCACCTCCTTGTCACTCTGCTATCACTACTACTACTACTACTAGAGAACTTCACTCATTGATTCCTCCACACATGCTGAGGACTCGGTCTACCAAATACTGACCACTTCGTGTACGTAGAACTTCTTTCGCACCGTCCGTAGCCACCCACGCTAATCGGCGGTGCGGGGGACCCCGAAGGACAACAAACTCAACACAAAAAGCAGTTCTAAAGAAATTCGTTTGTCAATCTAAATTATTTAAAAGTGCATTGCTCCCAGTGGCTTCCTAATATGAGAAGAACGTTCCAGACGGCCGCAGCGTTCCAGGCGGCCGCAGAAGCGCATCCGAAAGCACCGCGCGATGCGACGGCCACCGTCTTCGTTCGAAAGCGTTTTGAAACGTGGGGTTGAGGCGACGCAAATCATCGGGTAGCGGCGGTGTTAATAATGGAGCGACGACGTGTTCTGCGAACCGACGTGAATGTGGGTATCGCTGCACGAGCAACTCGGGGCTCCGCGTGGACGCCTCACGCACGGAGGTGTGCGTCGCGAGCCGAGGAGTGCGGCGTGGCGACGTTGGAGCCAACGTCCTGCAGCACGCACTGGATCTGACACGACAAACGCAGAGCACAACAATCGGTTTGACATTTCGATATCGGACACAACAAAACACTGGTTTCAGAATAGACGTCAAGAATTTTTTTATAAAATAATTTTATCAAAAATGTTTTTGTTCTTCCAATGCTGGATAAAAGCCTTGTCACACACACCCATGCCAGCCAAGGGGGTCGTTTGACTATATATATTGATTATATTTTGACTATATATTGACTTTTTACTATATATATTGACTATATTTTTACGATATATATTGACTATATTTTGACTATATTTTACCATGCCAGTCAGTGATGGGGTTAAAGAAGCAGTGAGGGAGGAAAGCGAGGGGGAGGGGTGGAATAACCGGGACAGATTGAGCCACCACTCGCCACGATCTTTAACCACTGCCAGGATTCAAACTCAGGTCACCGGGATCACAATGCGCTATCCACTGAGCCATCGCTGCACACTTTGGATGGTTAACGATATGAATCTGGCGACCTGAGATCAATTCCCGGGCATGGCATAGCTCTCCGATGTGTTTCCGCCTTGTGCCGCTTGTTTGTCCGGCACAAGCGTCTGATGTGTCACTCCAATTCAGTTCCTAAAAAATCTCCCAGGACGTGGAGCGAAAACGTCGGACATCGTGCCCAACAACACGAATTGCACCCGAAAAGGACATCGGAGAGAGCTGTACAGCACAACTAAGAAGGTCTACGCATCGGCAATACCCAGGCGGTGATTTTTTTACGATGGCGATCATTTGAAATTCATGGGTATATTCGCGGACACACAAAATGCACACAAAACACATGTATGCCCACCTGCAACAGCTGCTCGCAAAAGCTGTGCTGTCCTTCCTGACAAAGCTCACAGGCGAAGCTGAAAGGACACGTTCATACGAAGCATTAGCGGCAGCCGATCCCATCGGTGCTTTGGGTATTCTGGTCAGGTGACACTGTTGTTAGAGCACCAGTAGGGAGAGGCCAACTTACCTCGTCATTCCTCCAATGGTGGTCAAAACGAGTCGTGCTTTTGAGCAAGTTCAACGGCGGTTAATGTACACAAAGCCTCACGCTCGTTATGAGCACTGCGTGTATTTATTTCCCCAAATTGTACATCCCGATTGTGCTCTCGGCTTCATATCACGAGAGGAATATCCCATCCGGATCACTTTCACCGCAGCAGTGCAGCCCTCTGCCGTGTTAGAGCGGCCCACGAAAGAGAATATCACAGAGCTCCCTCTTGAGATCACTTCAAGTTGGCCTGGCAGCGCTTCCCCACCTGCTCTGCAGTATGGGAGTAATGTTCATTGTGAGAGTAATGTTCATGGCCATCAAACTGATATTAAAATTCTTAAGAGTTATAATTTAGCCAAGGTGCAGAACCAAATTGAACGTGATGTTTTTTCTAGATTTGAAGCTTTCGTGACTGTAAGGATTCATACTCTTAGGTTTTTTTCAGTAAAGTCCCGTAGGTAAAAATAATAGAAATAATAATAAAAATAAAATAATAACGCACGACATTTTGTTTGCCTCTGAAACGTCGTGATTTATTATTTTATTTATATTATTTGTATTTATTATTATTATTATTTATTTTTACCTATGTGACTTTACCGAAAAAACCTAAGAGTGTGATGTAGTAATAGGTTTTTACCCTTTCAACTGGTACAAAAACTGACACCTTTATACAAGGCATCATGTTTGCAATAACCATAACACAAGCAGTCAAAATGCAAACAAAAAGAAACAACTCTGATGATGATAATGATATGCACTGTCCTTGAAGTTGATTGGTCCACACCCGAGACAGCTTTTCTTAGAGCCTAGTCTCCATTGGTGTTGGACCAGATGACGCTAGTGATGGGCTGAGGACATCAACTCACTAAACTTAAGGAGCCAATTGTAATCATGGTCCCGGAATTGAACCCAGGTTGTGAGCGGTGTCAGCTCAGCGCTCGGACTCCAGAACCACCCGGCCACCTCGGGAAGGTTCAACTTACACCACGGGCTTTGGGAGGCAGAAGTAAGTGAGTGGTCACCCAACGCTCGTTTGAGTCGTGAGACAGACTTATAGTTTAACACGCGGTAGGCTTTCCGGGATCAATATTATCCGTAAAAGTTTCTTGGGTTAGTTTGCGTAAATAAATGTGTCGTTAAACCCGCCACCACCCGACACATCCAATTATAAAGGTTTGTCACGTAAACGAAACATGGCGTGTTGTGTTTACATTTATATTTACGCAATCGAACCCAAAAACCTCTGATATAGACTTATTTTTGTTATAGGAATTATCTGTGAAAATAAAATACTGTTTAACTTCTCTTTAAAAAGTTGCCCGTGTGAATGCGTAATGGCTCCGTGAAACAAGGGTATTTTGATATCACTCTACAAACCTCGCACATTTGCTTGTGCGTACAATGAGAGAGTTACATAGGCACGCACTTTCAGCGCAAACTTGTAAGAACAAGTAACCGCTGTGATATCAGTTGTACGGCGCACCAGTGAGAGCATGACATTGATGTCGCTTGTGCACTCAAGAGGATATTCAGGTGTGCGGCAAAATAAGCTTTCAAAAGCCACTATGTGGGGTCCACTTTTGAACAATGTTTGTACTATTCAAAGACTGGCCCCTGCCACTGAGTGCATGAAAGCTCAGTGAAACGCGAGTATTTTGACATTACAAACCTCACACATCTGTTTGATCATACAATGAGAGACAGAGAGAGAGCATGTAGGCAGGTGTCCCACTAGACCAGGGGTGGGGATAAGGCCCGCAAAGTCATTTGGTCTGGCCCTGCCAAGGCAACCGCACGACTCGAAATTCAATAAATCTAGGAGCTTTTTACGCAGCAACATAAATTTAATTTTGTATGGCCCGCGAATGATGTTATAAATATCCAAATGGCCCTTGGCAGAAAAAAGGTTCCCCACCCATGCACTAGACGGTGGAACGTCTACTAGCCACGTCTAAATACCGTTGCCTTTGGGCCACCAACAGAGACGGGCGCTGCCCAATCCTCACTTAAGCGAGGAGACACTTAACTTTACGCGAACACTTACCCGAGAGCAGATGAAAGTTCATCAACGGTTCCCAGTGCCTCAAACACAGCATCGTCTTTAGTCCGTCGCTCCCCCGTGAATGTGCTGGACATGCCTAGATGTGTGCGAGAAAAACAATGTCGATTAAGGCAACAAGCAATTCAAAACAGACGTCAAAACAATTTGTATAAGGTGCTCTCCTTTGTAATTACGAGACAAACGCGGAAGAGTGCACGGAGGCGCGGAAGAGAGACGCACGCCTGGAATTACACCGAGCGACAGAAAGAAGGGCGCACTTGGAGCAGGGAAACTATGATTGTTGGAGACACGACGTGGAGGGCAGGACACGTCGGTGGAAGGGAGACCGGCTATAGAATGGCAGCCAAAGGGGGCGAAAGCGCCCAAGAGGGCGATCGCCGTAGGGATTGAGTGATGAGATCAGCTCAAGTGTAGAGAAAATGATGGATCATCATGGCAATGTGAGATGGCGATGGTGTGGAGAGGCCATAGCAGGCACATAACAATTCATCAATACGATTTTTCAGCCCACGATACAATCAACGTATCGCACGCGTAAGACTCAAATATTTACAATTCATGCAAAATATATACAAATGGTATTTAGACTAATGCAGCCAACTGTATAAGACAGGCAAAAGTAGCGTACACATTGTGACAATTCCTTATATTCGTGGAGGGGTGAATGGTTCATTAAATGCTTAAGCAACTGACCAGATTTGATGATGCTCATTACGACTCATCTATATAACACTTTGCACAAACATCTCAAAAGTTTTACGTCACATATAATAATCTGCCTGCCGTCGTCTTAGCCACTTACAATGCGGTACAATGTGTTGAAAGTGTGGTAATGCGCGGTGAGGTGTGGTCGAAAACACACGTGATTTCATATCAACCAATCGCAGGCACAGATGTATGGGCAAACACATCAAAAACCGGTTTATACTTTTGTGGTTTCATATATTGAGCCACTATGGTGCGCAGCGCCGGATAATTAAATAAGAGGTATCGGGAGACGTAGCAGCCATAGGCTGGCGAGATATGTGATGTGCCAGAGGAAGGTATGCGAGGCATAGGGGTGACAGAAGGGACACATGGGGCATAGCCCGGAACCTTCTGGAGGATTCCAGAAGGGGGTGTGGCCAGAGGAGGAACTAGGCCGCGCTGGAGGATAAAAGGAGGTTCCCGAGGCTGTATCGGGGCTGTCTTCTGGAATGGAACCCGCCGTGCTGCGTCTTCTCCTGGGTCTTCAGTCTTCGTGCTCGGCATCGTGGGTCAGGCAGTGTGCCAACTGACCTGACTCATTCATATAGTTATCCCGTTGTGGTTATTGTAGAATACGTGTGTCTCTCGGTGAACCCATTACACGTTGATACATCTTTTACAGATACGTGAAGGTGAAAGGTAAGTCAGGTTCATTATTCCAGTAGTTTTATGGTCTATATTACCGCTAACCTCACCTGCATCTCCAGTTTTCGTATAGATCCTCGGAAGATTACTTCTGTCCGGCGCGTTCGTTCCAGCTGCTTTACTGCAAACCAGGAAGAGCACACATCACAAGCTTTCATAAGTCATCGGTCAAGTGCATTAGAGAATAATTTACAATAGTTGGCTGAGGTTGTGAGGCTTGCATTTGGCTGGGCAATGTGCTCTACCCCAGACCTGCTCACCCTCCATCCCTGCCCATTGTAACTTGTGGACTTTGAAATGTTTTTGGACACTTTTCATTTCTGGAGTTTGCAGGGCCACCCAGTAAGAATAAAGGTCACAGATATGCTTGGATAACCTTAGAGGCACTAGATGTCAGCAATGGTCACCAGAAACTTATTTAGACCGTAAACATTTTTGCTGTCCGAATATTGGACAAACCTCAACATCATTGCTCGTTCACACTGAAGAAAGTGAGGTCACGTTCCCTACCCAAGGTTGTGCGCTCTGTTGACCAATCATCATAATCATCATGCTTTCAAGAAGCTCCGCTTTCATCTGCTCGACACACACCTCCGTCAGTCTTTCAACCGGTGATCTCGAATGTGTGAAGAGTTGCTCATGGCAAACAAGTCTATCGTAGTTATAACGGGCCGTGAGCCTGTTCTCGGGGCTAGTTGCACAAAACATCACCCATTATGCACATTCTCTTTTTAAGGCCACGGTGTTATTGACGAACGTGTAAAGGTGTTTGCGTGCGTTATTTGTGCTTGTGCAGCAGGAATCACCTGCAGAGGCAGCGAGGGGCAGGTGATGTTGAGCCCTTCACGAGCAGGGTACGGGCTCGCAGCCAGCGGCTCGCCGCCTGCGAGCAGATTCATGCACGACGGCCACACGACAGGGTCGGGAAACACGGGGCCGTTGTCAAAGAACGAATAACGACCCGCACGGTGTTGTGTGGCCATAATCCTGCGATTGATTTAACAAAATGGCTCTGCACGTATACGTGTAGAATATTGAATGACAAGTCGGTCGTGTCGACGAATTGACCACCAATAATAATGATCAGCTACTTTTGTTGCGGTTGATAATTAGTGGGGCCCCTTTAAAAACTATCAGCCACCGCTATGAAGGTGGGAGCCCCTCCCCAATAACACGTCCAGGGAAATGTGACGTCACCAGGCCACACCCATCACCTCCCGTCCAGCGGCACATGTGGGAGTAAGGGGTGACTACTGGTACTTTTTATCCACAAACTATGTTCGCATTCCCTTACTAGTCGAGTAATTGAACCGATAATTATTATCTGTATTTAGTACTCGGCTATTGAAGCAATCCCAAAAGGAACAGCTCCTGCAATGATAAACTGTAGTGTCATTCAAGAAGATATACCAGAGGTCTGTACTGCAAGTATTATGTACTGAATGTATTATAGACTGTATGTATTATATACTGAATGTATTATATACTGTATGTATTATAGACTGCATGTAGTATAGACTGTGTGTATTGTATATACTGTATGCGTTATAGACTGCACGTAGTATAGACTGTATGTATAGTATAGACTGTATGTAGTATAGACTGTATGTAGTATAGACTGTCACACACACACACGTGTGTCCCGTGTCTCTCCCAAGTTTACCATTCTCACGAAGGCGAGAGGCCTCATCGTCGCGGTGGTGGCGGGCGGGCGGGAGGAGGCCGATGTGGGTGGTTGTGGTTGTTGTGGTAGTTGTGGTGGTGGTAGTTGTGGTTGTGGTGGTTGTGGTTGTTGGTCGATTTCAGAGACCGACGACTCAACCCGCTGCGCGCCGCGCGAGTCGCGAGCTGACGACGGCGACCGGGGCGGAAGTGACGTCGGCGGTGGAGGAGGTCGGTGTTGTTGGTGGTGGTGGTGGTAGTTGTGGAGGTGGTTGTGGTGGTGGTCGCGGTAGTTGTGGAGGTGGTGGCTGTGGTGGCGATGGTGGTGGAGATGGTTGTGGTGGTGGTGGCGATGGTGGTGGCGGTTGTGGTGGTTGTGGTGGCGATGGAGGTGGGTGGTGGTTGTGGTGGCGATGGTGGTTGTGGTGGTGGCGATGGTGGTGGTGGTGCCATTCCTCCAAAGGGCCACGAGAGGTCAGCGATTCCCCTTCTTTTGAGACGCCCCCAACCCCCCCCCCCCCGTTGATAATTATAACTAATTCACGATGTAACACGATTCTTGTTCTTTTTATTTCCTAATTGCTTATGCCTAAAAAGTATAGAAAATTTCTATTATTCCCCACAAACTTTGCTTTTGTCACCAGGACATTATGTGAGCGAAAGACACAAACGCACACCACGTTTTCTCATTGCAAATAGATAAATTTCAAAATATCACTGCCCTGGTCACAGAAAGCCAAGTTAGTGGGGAATAATTGCCATTGTCTGTACTGTTGAGGCATAGGCAGTTCGGAAATAACACTTACTACCCAGGAACAATGTATTTGTGACAGTGATCATTGATCCTTATGGCGGTACCCCGGGGTTCCAAATAATACAAATTGGCCGAGGCAATTAAATATTTTTTGTTATTTCTGGGACACAATTTTTGTGTCCAGGGGTGAACTTCGCTCTGCGAATGGGGCACCGATCAATGTGACATGGGTGGTGCCACTCCGCGATGTCGAAACGCCAAACATTAGCATAAAACAAATCATCGTTATAGAAACATTCTACTTTGAATTGTGCATCGTGTACATCATGGTGGTGGTGGTGGTGCATCGTGTAGAGCTCGTCGAGATGAGTGGATGGCCCCATCGCCCCTTTGCAAGGAATCACGCTACTACATTAACCACACACAGTGCTTATGGTGAACATGCAAACAGAACGTGCTCTAATGATACATGCATTGTCTTTGTAAACTAATAGGTCTACAGCAGAGACATCCTTCTTATGGCCCAGTCTCACCAGCAGTGTCAGACCAGAGGACAGCCGCACAAGGCGAACAGCTGAAAGGACAATGCCCATTTCGATTTAAAGCTTGCGTGACTGCAGTGATTCATCTTCTTGGTTCTTTCGGTAAAGTCACGTAGAATGGAAATAATAAAATAATAAAAATAAAACATAATAAAATAATTCTCACGACGTTTCGGCCACAACGCAAGCAGCCGTCCTCAGGTGAAGAACCGGTCTCTGTCTTATCGACAGACCTGCTTGCGTTGTGGCGGAAACATCGTGAGAATTATCTTATTATGTTTTATTTTATTATTTTATTATTTCCATTCTACGTGACTTTACCGAAAGAACCAAGAAGACAATGCCCATATTGCACCCACCCCGAGTGCGTTGTAAAGATCCGCTGGTAGACTGGAGTAGATGGCACGTGGCCAATAAATACTGAATCTGATTTATTTTCAAATGATCAGAATCGTGATTTAGACCGGAGGAATCCGATGAGCTGTGAAGCCCTTGTTCACAGATGTATACTCGACGTGGTGTGCCGGATGCTGAATTACTTTCCGTATCGTCCGAAACGGCTGAAATAAAAAAAAAAAGCCCTGGGTGGTTCGAATCTAACATTTGATGAGAGCTGTCAAATTGTGAGAGATGGAACATAATTTTGAGACCTATCAAATTGTGAGATTTGAGAGGGCTAATGCGTTAAGGTTTGACAGCAAGGTGGCGTGAGATTGTTCAGTGGCGGCGTGAGAGCGTGACATTTCAATGTCCTGCTCACACAGAAGCAACAATTCCCATTGCAACCCACCACCCCTGTGGTGTCACGCCACTACCAGTCAGCCATCGTCACGAATTACACCCATCGCTGGGTTATTACATGTCTGCAGATACACCCATCGCCTGATGTAGGGGTCGTCAACTTGCGGCTATTTAAGAAGTGCCTCGTGACGTAATGTATTGTGGCTTTTCAAATCTTGAGTTTTTTTGGACCAAATTAGAAAAAACAATTGCCCTTCTTGTTATGCATCTTGAGCCAGGGCACTGCCCACAATTCATTGCTGATCTCGTCAAGGAACTTGAACCACCATCACGCGAACTCCGCCGGTCATCTTCACAGCAGCGGCTTTTGGCTTCTGGCCGTCGAACCAAGACGGTCACCACATCGCGCTACTGTGGCCGTCTGGAACGCTCTTCCTTCCGATATAAGGAACCAACTGGAGTTATGCACCTTTAAGTCTAGATCGAAAACTGATTTACTTAGAACTGCTTTTTGTGTTGAGTTGTCCTTCCGCTTAGCACGGTCTGCTACGTGCGGTGCGAAAGAAGTTTAGCATATTGTAGGTACATTTCTGAAAAATCTCACGCCCCGTGCAATCGCCACCTAGTGGTTGGTGATGGACAACACTTCTCCCCCACGAGAGAAGTCCTGCTCCACAGACGAATATTTATCCTGAGCCCAACATGAAAATATGCTAACATCACACATTTTGTAACATTATAGGCACATTTCATTGTGATACCGACATGTGGAATATCTGGTCAGGAGCTCATTGACTATTTTTAAATTATAAAATAAACATACAGCGGATGTCAAGAAACAATCATAAATAATTGTCCATCTACTGCTGGATAGGGGGCACCCCAAACTCGTACTCGGTGGCAGTCATGTTCTTTTATACAAATGTGAGCACAGACAAAGATACCCTGTACAGCCTTAACAAACTGTTGGGGCAAGTGCTGTTAACGAGCACATAAGAAGGCCGGCACGGCACACGAGGGGTTTGGGTGGCCAACACCATGCCCGGCCGCCTTTGTCTCCACAATGTTGATGTTTGCACACTGCACCAAATGCTAATTTAAGGCTGAGTCGACCTAGAGGAGGCCATGGACCAGTCAATTATTGGTCACCAATGTTGGCTGTGAGCAAGGAATCGAACCCGGGTCGCCGGGTTCACGGCGCAGCACGCTAACCACTGCACTACACACACACACACACGCGGGCGTTATTCTTCGCTTTAAACGCGCCCTGTGGGCTTTTCGACGATCAGATCTAAGCAATGTTGGGATATAACATTTAGAGAAAAAACGCCAACATAATTCTGGGACTGTGCAATCTAGAGCCCGCGGGATAAATTCGACCCGCCAACTCATTTAATCCAAACAGCGGTGTCACGCAAGCCTACCATTAACATTGGCCCGCAGCGCATTTGAAATGAAGTTAATTACGTTAATTATACTTCACGTGTCTGTGTGAAATAATTAAGTTATCCTTCTTGGTTAGGATGCAAGAGTCTCGTCGTGCAATTCCGTGGCGTATGTGATGTAAACATTCTACCCGTTCATCTCCTCTGCTTTCTCTTACATCTTCCCCCTATATCTAACGTATAACTATGCTCTGAATACACTTTCTATATCTTTTGAATAATCGTAGCTGTTTCCTGAAAACATCTCCGATCTCACGCATCTCTGTTTTAATACATCGATGCCAAATATCTATTCTGAAAGACCTCTCGTGTTGCTCGTTTAAACACGTAACCTCTATCTTTCTCTCATCTATCGTCTGCGTACAAAGTCTATCTCTGACTCTTGTCTTCTGCATACATCTCCCGTCTCATATCTCTGCTGAACACATTCCCTATCTCGTGTCTACTCTGAATACATGCCTCCTGGCTAAACGTCAGATACGTGGTTTATGACAGTGGTCGGCTCCATTCAGAATTGCTCGTCAACTGACGAAAGGCTGCAGCAGGGTTTCCAAAACGCCAGAATTCACGCTCATCAAATCACTCCCCATCCAAACACAAATTCACTCCTTCCACGAGAGCTACGGAGTGTGCCAGTCGATTGTGTATGTATTGTGTAGATTTATTTAATTAGCTTTTTTGGTTGATTTGTGAAATTAATTTTGGTCGATGTTTAGCTTCGTATGCAGTACACGATTATGCATTTTTTGTAATGTTTTAATTTTCAAATACTCTATACGTGTTCGATTTTTAACCATTATATCTGGGGTAAAATAATAAAAACCCATATATCCTTCATAGTCGAACAATATAAAATCAAACGTAGCAACGAATATTGTGCAATAGTCCTTCCCGTGGCCTCACTTTCTCTCGCTCTCTCTCACCCTCACCCTCTCTCTCATCCTGCCTCTCTCTCTCTTTTTTTACGATCAGTGGAAACAAGAAGATGCTCGGTGTAGTCGGCACTTTGCTTCGTTCATCATTTCGTTTTTTTATCTTTGCTTTATGTAACTCCCCCCCTCTCGCTCTCGCTCACTCTCTCGCTCTCTCTCGTTCTGCACGCAGCCCTTCTCGCAGTCCAACGGCCTCCGACGGGTAGCTCATATCAGCATGCAGAGCTCCCCGTCATCTGCCACCGAGCACACGGCCTCCTCCATCGCCCACGCTCCTTGAAGTCCGGCACGGCGTGGGTCAGCCGCGCATGGCGGAACTCCGGCCACACACCCTGGCTCCGACCAGAGTGCGGAAGATGCCCACGCTGATGGCCGGACGTTTCCCCTCCAGGGCCACCTTCCTCGCCCTGTAAATGGCGAGCTTATCTCTCTCACCGTGCCTCTCTCACTCACCCTGCCTCTTTCTCACTCTCACTCACCCTGCCTCTCTCTCTCACTCACCCTGCCTCTCTCTCACTCTCACTTTACTCTCTCGCACGTGCGCTCACGAGCACGCACGGATGCCCCTCTCCCCCCCCCCCCCCCGTGAGAGTGTTTATTTACCGTGCTATAGAAAATGACCCAAAAACAAACTCCCTCCTCGCGGCCCACCCAGAGTTTGACGGCGATGGAGATTAGACGAGGTGTGTGACAGCGAGGTTTTAGATACCTCGGTCTAGCCTGCGATGGTGATGATTTCAGCGGAGTGAAATCCAACGGGTCGTAAGATCCCGTGGTTTTTTTAAGTGTGATAATGAAATTAACCATGGACATTCGTTGCATGGAAATGTGAAGCGTTGCAGACCGAGGGTGCACTCAACATTTTATTAAAATAATCAAATGTATTTAT